AGTTGATGAATGAAACACAAGGCAACATTGTGATGCTCCGAGACGAGGTCTCACAACATCTGTGGTGCTGTCCCTGAGGGGACCAGCAGTGTTCAGTAGTGAAGGACACCTGCTCAGTTGCTCTGTCATGAGTCCATGCTCAAGTGTTCACTTCTTCTGATTCGATTTTAGCACCCGTTCTAGGGTTTTCATAGTAAGAGGATCTGTCTGGTTGAGGGACAGGTTTTGTGTTTGTATGGAAGGTCCACAGAAGGGTGGGAACACACTTGTCCTGCTGTCAGAAGTGAGCTCTACTCGGCAATTGCAGTCACCTGGGAGAAAAGACTGTGTAGACTTACTGTGAACATAGATAAAGCCACCCTTTGGATTCCAAGTAGATGCCTCTGGATAGTTCTGTTTTATAGCACCATTTTACTGCTGTTGCCATGGTGGTTCAAGGTCCTTATCCAGTGATAAGAAGAAAACATGTCTTTAAAGTAAGCACAATGGATTTTCCTTTAGCCCACCATCTTACCTCAGTCCCTAAACTGTTGTTTCTAAGTTACCTACTCTGTGCTAAGTTCTGTGATAGGAGCAGAAAGTGGACGTGGAAAACATGGTATATCTAGCCATTCTTTTCTATCTTCACTGTGTATGTATTTATATGTACTTCTTGACTTCTGAATGGCTAGGAAAGCTATGGTGGCTTAAAAATACCATACTTGGTATAAACATACATTACTAACCCAGCCTGCCAACACCATGTTTGGGCAGCAGAGTGTGTTGCTCGGTCACCTAGCTATTTCATGGTGACTGGAAGCTTGCTCAGCCTCGTGACCTGCCATATCCTTATTGCTCAGATTCCAAATCAGATGTGAGTCCTGCTGAGTATGAACCATCCGCGTCTTTGTCAGGCTGGAGTCTGCAGTCACATATCATAAACATTTGTGCATAGTTGAGTCTTTTAAAAATGTTTTTGTTGGGGATGGAGAGATGGCTCAGCCATTAAGAGCATCAGTTGGTCTTCCAGAAGACTTGGGTTCAATTTCCAGCACCCAACTGGTAGCTCAAACTATCTGTAACTCCTGCCCCAGAGGATCCAACAGCATTTCTGGCCTCTGAATACGACATAGTATAGACATCTGTACATGTAAGATGAAAACAAATAAAAGGTTAGGAAACATTTTTGAATGTTTTTGTATTTTGTGTATATGAATATTTTGCCTGTAATGCATGTCTATGTGCCACATGCATGCCTGGTGCCAATGGAGGCCAGAAGAGGGTGTCGGAGCCTCTGGAACCAGGGATTGTAAGTAGTATGTAGGTGCCGGAATTCAAACCCAGGGCCTCTGCAAAAATACCCACTGCTCTTAACTGCTGAGCCATCTCTCAAGCCCACATACTGGATTTTGTTTTTGTTTTTTAATTTTATTTTATATACATGATCAGTTTTATATTTTAGTTGGGTTCAAATGACTATATATCAGTTAGGCAGGTCTAAAATCTACCACACTATACCTGTTTCATTTTTTTTTTAATTTTCCCATCATCTTTTGGTTTGCACTCTATTTTGTGTTGCTTATTGGCCTATGTGCTGTAATCATTTTGTGTTTAGTAGTATTGATCTGTAGCTCAGTACAGTGTGCCTTCAAATGACAGGTCACCTTACTAATAGAAGAGCCGGAAAACAGTTTACCTTGTTTCCCTCTTCCTAGTGACCTCGGGTCACAGTTAGAGCTCTGCATCTGTCGTGAATGTCATACTATGTTACGCAACATTTCTGCTTTAAATGTTTCTAGGCTGAGGACCGTCCTAGTTGAGTTTTATCAACTTAATGCAAACCTAGACATATCTGGGAAGAGGGACTCTTATTTGAGAAAATGCTTGTCTAAGTTTGGCCTGTAGGTAAGTCTGTAGGGTGTTCTCTTGATTAGTAACTGGTGTGGGAGGACCCAGTCCACTCTGGGTGCTGCCACCACTGGACAGAGGGTCTGAGTTGCATAGAAAGCAAGGAGAGCAAGCCAATAAGCAGCTTCCTTCATGGCCTCTGCTTCAGTTCCTGTTTCCAGCTTCCTGCCTTGGATTCCCCTCATGATGAGCTTTATAATGATGAGATAAACCCTTTCGTCCCCAAGTTTCTTTTGGTCATGGGATTTTATCACTGTAATATAAACTGTAATTAAGACGACTTTTTTTTCCCTTTCAAAATTAAGAAAATGTTGCTCCTTTGCCCTCTAGTTTATATTATTTCTAATAAGAAATGTGGCCAGGCAGTGGTGGCGCGCCTTTACTCCCAGCACTCAGGAGGCAGAGGCAGGAGGGCCTCTGAGTTCAGCCAGCCTGGTCTCCAGAGTTCCAGGACAGCCAGGATGACAGAAACCCTGTCTGGGGTTAAGGGTAGGGGTGGGGAGTGTCGGTTGTGCCTCAGTTTTCCGAGTGCTGGGATTACAGCCTGTGCAAGTATGCCTGGCTTCTCAGTTCTTACCCAGTTCAGTTGCCATGTAACTTTGAGTAATTTTCTTCCTGTTTCTTGTGTTTAAGGCTCATTGGATTGCTTAGATTTGTGGATTTGTTATGGTTTTCATCAAATTGTAAAATAAATCTTCACATCATCTAAGCTTTGCCATTAAAGAAAATTTCTTATTGTAGGGGAAGAAGGCCACACACTCACCTGGCATGTGAGTGTCAGGGTCTGTCTCGTTCCCACTAAGAATCAGCTGTCTCCTTCCCATTAAGCATCTTCGTGGCTTCTTGGTCTTTTTTTTTTTTTTTTTTTTTTTTGGTAGTCTTTTTCTGTCTGTTTCTTGGTTCTGAGAGTTTACCTCTTATGTCCCTAGTCCCTTCTCTTATGGAATCAAGCATGTTAATGCTCTCAGGGACATTTCCATCTCTGGCATTGTGGTTCTTCTCTGTGGGAGGAGGTTTGTTCTCTGTCCACATCTCTGCTGTATGTGTTTAGTTTGAGCTTCCAAGCATTTGCCGGCATATTAGTTTTTTGAAATGTCTGTTTATTCTATCACATGTACCATATCAGTTTTATTTTATTTTTAAGACTGTTTTAAATTTGGAGGCTGCAGAGATGGCTCAGTGCTTAGGAGTGCTAGAGCTGCTCTACCAGCATGATGGCCGACAACAGTTTCAGGGACTCCAGCACCTTCTTCTGGCCTCCACAGGCATCATGTAGGTGTGGGGTACACAGACATACATGCAGGTAACACACCTGTGTTCATTAAGTGAAATAAAAATTAAATTTAAAAAAATCAGTTGCCAGGTAGTGGTGGCACATGCCTTTAATCCCAGCACTCTGGTTGGCAGAGGCAGGCCGATCTCTGTGAGTTCAAAACCAGCCTGGTCTCCAAAGTGTGTCCAGACAGCCAGAGCTATACAGAGAAACCCTGTCTCAAAAACAAAAAAGCAGAGTTGACTACAGTGGTGTAAGCTCCACCCCCTAGCTGGAGGTGCGCCCGCCCTCGATCCACATTCCCTAACTTGTGAGGAAATACATGAGCCATTCTATGGGAATGGAATCAGGCCAGCCAGTGCTCTTTTTTAATTTTTTATTTTTTAATAGAAAAACTGTGAGGGAGAGATGGCTCAACGGTTCAGAGCACTGTCTACTCTTGCAAAGGTCCTGAGTTCAATTCTCGGCAACCACATAGTGGCTCCCGACCATCTTTAATGTGATCTGGTGCCCTTTGCTGGCGTGCAGGTGTATAGACCACTCATATACATAAAATAAAGAAATCTAAAAGAAAAAAGAGAACGGGTTACATTTAAACCTTTTTGTATGTTAGGGCTGTGTGCGAAGGTCAGGGAATGACTTGCAAGAGTCAGTTCCTTCCTTCCACCACGTGGGTTCCCAGGATCAAATTCTAGTCATAAGACTTGCCAGCAGGTGACTTTACCCACTGAACCATCCCACCAGTCCTCATACTCTTGCAAAAGGTGGATCAGATGAGACCCTAAGTCCAGTTCCTGTAGCTGTCTTGGACAAAATTCCTTATGAAATGGCATTGTGGCCTTAGGAGATGGCTCAGTTGGTACAATGTTTTCTATGCAAACATGAGGTTTGGGGAGGCCAAAGCGGGAAGCTTTGGTAGCCTTGCTAGCTATCCATCTTTCCTGTCATCAGCCATCTCAGGCCAGTGAGAAACCCTGTCTCACAAAACCAAGTAGACAGAGCCTGAGGAGGAACAATAATCAGCAGCAGACAACCTGTGTGGAAAGTGAGCCAGCCAGAGGTAAAGCTCAAGGCAGAGTACTTGCCCTCCGTGTTCAAGGCTTGGGCTCCAAGCCAGCACAGACGCCAAAGGCCAGCCTGGGCCACACAGTGAGCGCCTCTCTGGAAAGCAGAAAGAGGTGTGGGGGTCAGAGAAGGAGAACCCGGCAAGACAGGAAGATCTTGGCGTTGGCTGCAGTGTAGGCGGCTGCTTCCTAGTGAAGCCCGTGTTTCGCTGAGTTAGTTTAGCATTCTTATCTTGTCAGGAACCACTGCCAGCTTTGCTTTACCTAAACACATCTCATGTTACTGCCTTAGTAACCTGGCTACCCGCAGCATGCTGGATCAGAGTCAGAACTCTGTTAGCCTGCAACCTCCAAAGTCTGGGTCTGTTCACATGGCCACCTTGACCTTTCCTGTAATTGGAAGCCTTTGTTTTCCTGGAATGTGGTTGCTGTTGTGTCTGCCTTCCTAGGAAACCCTGCTCAAGTCCACTTTCTTAGAAAAGTATTCCAGACTCCCTTGGCTAGAGATGTTTCTGACTTTGACCTTGTTTTGGCATGCTATTTAAATGTTTCTGGGAGGGCGGCAGTTCTGTGTGGTCTGATGCAGGATTGTAACCAGTCTCCACCTTCTGCTTTGGGAACACCTGATCAGATCCTCCTAGGAAGCAGGCTATGGCAGCCACTCAGATCCTGGCCATTTTTTCCCAGGGCTACCATGGTGTGGCCAGAGCTCTGCTCTGCTAGGTGTCTGCCTCTGTGCCACTTCCTCAACAGCCTCTTGCCCTCTTGATCCACAGAGCTTCGGTGCAACCCTGGGCAGTTTGCATGTCACAGTGGTGCCATCCAGTGCATACCCCTCCCCTGGAAGTGTGACGGCTGGGGAACGTGTGAGGATAACAGTGATGAAGCCGACTGTCCGGGTGAGTGGGGATCGACCTGTCTGTCCCACAGGGAGGGAATGTCATGAGGCAATCCCTGTGGTCTGTACACATTGGAAGGGTAGTGTGTTAAGTATTAGCATGAACTGACTGTAGAACGTCTGAGCTAACAGCACTAGGGAGGTGAGGTCCGCCAGCCCCAGACTCTCCTGAGAGGTGTGCTGCACGCTCAGTGGCTCCGGGTGTAGTGCCTCCCGAGGCCTGCCTAGTGTCCTGACAAGTAAACCGTAAGCTAGCATTGCCCCTACTTCCCTTGCCTAAGCATGTTCTAGTAATATGGCACTTGGGTTTTTGGGTCTCGTTTGTTTTTGTGGCCCTCAATAAGCCCCTAAAGGCACATAGAGAGCCATAGAAGTTTGTACATCGTTGGGTACCCGCTGCTTCTACCTCAGCACCCTGATGCATAGTAAACACCATGGATCATAGCACCCATTCCACATTGATCCACAGGTTTCAGCCTGCGATAAATGGGAAGGGTAGCATCGTGCACGTGTGTGCTATTGCGAGACTCGTGCACGTGCATGCATTACTCACGCTTTTTCAGGGCCTGTCAGCAGAAGGCATGGCATGTGATAGAAATGATAAGCTTTCTCAGTGAGAAATTCCTCCACACAGTTAGAGGGAGGGAAGCTCTTCGCCGAGGCACCTGGTCAGCTCATGCACTGCCTGAGGAACAGTAGCTCCCAACAGAAGATTCCATTGGCTTATATACACCTCACACTTATGCATTCCACTTACAGCCATCTCTTTTGGGTCCTGGTCCCAGGTTACACTTTAACAATTTAAACAGAGACAGGAGGCTGCAAGTCTGGCCTATCTTAGGCAGATAGGAGATTTACACAGCAAAGTTATTGCATATTACTAGAATTATTTAAGGCCAGCAACGTTGTTCTTTTTCAAATAGTTATTACCCAGGGTCATCTTGCCCATCTGACAAGAGTTGTTTTCCTGATAAGAGAGCACAGGCGACTCTGTGACAGACCTGGACCTAATGATGGTTGCGACCCTGTTGTGGAAACCTTTCTGGAGTAAGCACTCTGATGCCAGTGAGAATGGACAAGAGGAGCTATCACTGGTGGAACAAAGCCAGGGCAGACTTTGATAGACAGTCCAGTTTGCACTCTCGGTTTATACGCTAAAATCTCAAGGTGGAGCAAATACACAAGCAACATTACACAGAACAGCCCCTCGCGTTAGCAGATGTTTCAGGTCCTCTGTTCCAGGTAGCCAGTGAAGTCATGCTTGGCAAACAGGCAGTGCAAGCAGAGCTTAAGTAAAGCACTAAATAAATCAATATCTAATAATTTGTCCTTTCTACTTCATTCTACTTTAGCTCTGTACCGCCCCCATCCCCCAAAGCTGTTTTTGTTGGGTTTTTTTGTTTTTTGAGCCAGAGTCTCAAAAAGACATTAGAGGTTTGTTGTTGTTGTTGTCGATTGTTTGTTTTTTAAGATGTTGTCTGTGTGTGTGGAAGGAAGAAGAGGGGATGGGGTCTCCTGGACCTGAAGTTACAGGCAGTTGTGAGCTGCCTAACATGACTGCCGGGAACCAAACTAAGGTCCTCTAAGAGAACAGTCAGTGCTCTTAATCAGTGAACCATCTCTCCAGCCCCTAGAGGTATGTCTGTGGCATAGGAAGCAGGGCCTACTGGCTGGTCAGTCATAAGTTGTAAGTTATCGCTGTCTTCTTTGTCATGATTGGAACCTAAAGGCTGGCCAATCCTGGTGGCATTTACATCCTACCATCCTAAATTTATGTTATCTCTAACAGGCCTGTTAGCACATGACTTTTCTTGGGGTATTTTGGAAGTGGTGCTTCTTTAGATAATTCTACTTGGGGGACTCAATGTCTCCTAAGTAGATCTATCAGTAAGTCCTTTAGAATAACAATTCTATCACTGTGATCAGTCATACTGTAACTCTGTAATCACCATTTTAAACTGTGTATGGTTGCACACACCTTTAATCCCAGTAACTGTGAGATAGAAGTAGGCAGATCTCTGAGTTTGAGGCCAGCCTGGTATACACAGTGAGACCCTGTCTCAAAATGTGTGCACGTGAGTGCGCGCTTGGGTGTCTGCGTGTGCATGTGTGTGTGTGTGTGTCTTGACACTGTCCTGGCATTGTGATCCTTTACTGTCTGGCATAATTCTTCCTTGCCAAGCTTTTGTGTCACTGTTGTTCACATCAGCTGGTATATTTCCTGTATCGCTATGCCAATTCCTCACTGCATGTGTCCTGTGCTTCTTGGAATTGTTTTGTTTATGTCCCTGCCTGGGTCAACATGCCTTCCTTCAAGACTTGACTGAAATGCCAGCTGCCGCAGTGAAAAGGTACCTCTGTCTCTCTGGCTGAATCACCTGATTGTCCTCTTAGCACATCTAGAACTGCTGGTTAATTCTCACTAGTTTTGGGGGTGGTTTTTTTGGGGGGGGGAGTGTTTATTTGTTTATTTGGGTTTTGTTTGGTTGGTTTGGGTTTTTTGTTGTTTGGTCGGTTTAGGTTGTTCATTTGTTGGTTTGTTTGTTTCTCTGTGTAGCCCTGGCTGTCCTAGACTTGCTTTGTAGACCAGGCTGACCTCAAACTCACAGTGATCCGCTTGCCTCTGCCTCCCTGAGTGCTGGGACTAAAATCATAGAAAACCTCGCTCAGCTTAATTCTCACTGTTAAAGGGCCTGTTCTGCATTTCTCCTTCCAGACCACAAGCTTCAAAAACAGGAAGCCTTTTCTGCCTCTGGATGGGCCCTTGCCTGAGGTAGAAAGGGTATACTATAGCTCCTAGAAGCCAAGCATGGTTCAACCTGGGTCATCAGGAAGGGCGATGAATACATTTAAAAGCAGTGTGTTTGGAAATCAAGAAAAGCTTACATATAGGCACTGGCAAGATGCATGTACAAAGAGATCTGAGAAAACCTTAAAAAACACCATCTCACATTAGTCCAAGGCTCCTGCCAAGCCTCCAAAGTAGTCATCCAGCACAGAGCAAGGCTACAAAGATAGGAGAGATGGCTGCTTTTGCACAGAGAAAGGAAAAACGTGGCCTATCCCTGTAGCAAAACAGAGACCTCTTTTTTTTTTTTTTTTTTTTTGTATTGTTTATTTTGTTTTTGGGGGCAGAGTTTTTCTGTGTAGCCCTGACTATCCTCAAACTTATAGAGATCTGCCTGCCTCTGCCTCCTGAATGCTGGGATTAAAGGCGTGCACCACTATTGCCTGGCAACAATGATTATTTTTATTTTTTTGTCAGTTTCATACATGTATATAATAAAATTCAGTCCTTACCCATTACTCTGTTTCATCCCTGTTTTCCCAGGAAGTCCCCTTTCTGTTTTTATGTCTTTTTAATTGTAAGAAATGCAGACCTTAACTATCTTAAATGTGTTCACAGAACTAAAGGAAAACATGGACAAAAACCTAAAACAAATGAGCAAGTAGGGGCTGAGGCGACTGCTCAGTGGCAGATTGCTTGCCCAGCATGGGCCTCTCCCTGTTGGCGAGTGACACAACTGACCCAGTGTGGCCGCTCACACCTGTGATTTCAGAATTCAGAGGGCCAAGACAGCCCATGCTACAGAATACAGTGGAAACATTTTCCCCAGGAAGGTGGCCGGTGACCCTCAGGCACAGTCCGAAAGGGGTTAGGCGCTCTGGAAGCACTAGAGAAAAGGCCATGCAGAGGGCAGTTTGATGGAGAAGACCGAAGGGGGAGCCCTGTCTCCTTGCTGGGTACTGGCGACGCTGCAGAGCAGGAGAGTTCTGTTGCGCAGTTGTGGCAACCCAAGAGCCAAGTGTCATGGCACTACAGGGTAGAAGAGCTGTCAATAGAGTCCTGTGAGACTGAGGAAGGGAACTTTAAAATCAGATCTGCACAGCACTCAGCCAGCTGAAAACCTTTGGTAGAAACCAAAGTATACACAGGAACTTGCACAGATTCCAAGCAGGACACTGGCCAGAGCTGCTTAGGAATGCAGTCAGCGTTTGCACTCAGAACCCGAAGGAAATCACAGAGATCCAGCCACCCTCTTGAGACTTCACTATCATGCAGAGGAAGACTGGACCACAAGAACAAGTGCAAAAAAGCTATTGCAGAAGAGTAGAGGAGAAAGCTGAGAAGGAAGGGAAAAGAAACTAGAGGGAATTCACAGTCAGACCAGTAGGTTTTCACAGTCTGCCTCTACCCAGTGCAGTCCCTCTTTATTTAATATGACAGATAATTTAGGAGACCAGCCCAGGACCATCCTCCTCCTCCCACCTCCTTCTTTGTGGCCTTTCTCGTCATCTTTGTTGTCTTCATCTTCTTCTTTGTCTACTGTCTTATTCATCTTACTCTTTGCTTTTACCAGAACATAGTCTGGCTGGATCCATGGAGTCATGTGTCTCAGCTTTCTGAGACGGGACTGTTATCTGAGACTATATTTTTACCTATTTCATTTCAGTCTACCCTTTGCTAAAACTTCCTTATCCCCATCCACATTTTTGTCCCTATATTTTCCCCTTCTATTTGTCTCCTGCTTCCTACCATTCTAGTACTGATTACCAGCCTTGCGGTGTGTGTTTGTTTCTTAACTTCTCTTTCCACTCATATCCATAGTGACATGTAAGTTCACACAGCGTTGTCAGTGTCCCGAGGTGCTTAGCATTTAAGAAGCGATTATTTGGGGAGGAGTTGTTACTTTTTTAAATTACTGTTGTTAAATTCTTGGCTGGTTTTTATGAGATTTGTATGTGAAGGTTTTTTTCAGGGTGATTACATTGTAGTTGACTATTTTTGTAGAGCTTTCCCCCTGAATATTGACTGTTGTCGCAGATAGTATTCACTAATGGGGAAAAATGCTAATGGAGCCTCATACACTGAATACCAGGCTAACAGAAACAATACTTCAACTACTGTCACCACCTAGGTGGTGAAAAAATAAAATAATTCAGTGATCGAATTCCTGAATCCAACCCCAAACACAAGTAGCACCTTAAGGTTCACAAAATGGCTCACAAGTAATCGCATGTGTTTAATCTGACAACCTGAGTTCAAATCCTGGATCCCAGGGTTAAAGAAAGAACTGAATCCTGAAGGTTCTTTGACCCCCCACACACACACACACCTACACACAAAACTTTAAAAGAAAACCACAAGTGACATGATTTCTATATGTCTCATCCAAAATGCACAATCCCTGAATACAATCTCCCAGTAATAGTGACGTAGATGAATTTCCAAAGGCTTCAAGCGTATAATGAAAACTTTTCCAGACATGAGAGGAGTGAATGCAAAGAGAACAAAGGTGAATGAGACAAAGAAGTCCATGCAGAATGAACATAGAATATAAAGAGCAATACTGAAAAAGAAGCAAACTGAAATGATACTGGAAAATAAAACTTCAGTAATTCAGATGACCAGCACGTTGGAAAGCCTCACTGGCAGAGGAGACCACAGACAAGCAGAGTGCCAGGGCTCACAGACAGGGTAAGAAGAGACTGGCTGTGTCACTCCAGAGCATCAGGAAGTCTTAAACACATACAGATGGAATGTGCAGGGAACACTGCGAGAAAGCCATGTCTACAAATTGTGGGCATAGGAGAAGAATGCCATGCCAAAACCAGAAAATATTCTTTATTACAAACTAGACACACCGCCCCCTTCTCGGTTCTGCCAGCGCCACCGTCCTTCCCCCTTTTTCCTCTTCTTTTTGTCTTTGTGAAGCTGGAGCTCAGGTCTCATGCACGCTGGGTATACAACCACTGACCTGATCCCAGTATTTTTAAGGATTTGCATAAGGAAAACAGGAGACTTAGGAGAAACTTAATATAGTGATGACTGATATTTTAAGTTTTAAACACTTTAAATATTTTACATTAAATATTGTTTCATAATGAGAGGAGAGAACCCTATTAAGAAAATTTTAGCATGTAGGATATTGGAATGAGATATATAGAGAAATCCAATATAATTGATTCTATCACTATATAATTTTATATAGTTTTATATTTATAATTTTATATAGTGATAGAATCAAGGAAGCAATTTGTAAGGTCATTCCTTGTCACATCTTCAGTCTCAGGCTAGCCTGAGGAAAGCCATTACAGAGTCTGTACACTGTAATGGCTTCCTCTTTACACTGTCTAATCTTACTGTCCAGGGCAGCCATGCATACCCAGTATCCTACTGTGAGATCCTGCTATTAAGGTTGAAGCCTGGTGTTTCCAGCTAGCCTCTAAGCATGGTTCCCTTTCCACCTGATCTGGGGAACCCCAGATATCCTAAGGCTCTTTGCATAGCTCTCAAGGGAATTACAAGCCCAGCCCTTTCCTGATAAGAAACCCATTGAGCAGGTACCCATGCTATATGCTAATGAGATGTCTTGGTGTCTTGGCTTTCAACCAATGACCTTTAACTGTGCCTGGAGTTCCCTACCCATGGGATAATCACGTACGACTTTCCTTCTCTTAGGAGAGGGCTGTGTTATTACATGTAAACCAACTATCCCTGGCATTTCTAGCCCCAGCGAATCAAATGCATTCACCCTCAAAACTCCTCCCACTGCCCAAGGGTTAGAAGTCCCTGATTCACGAAATCAAATTTTTCACTATTCCTTCACCATGACTGCCTGAGGTTCATCATTTATTCTGGGGAAGGAAGTGCTCCCTGAAGAATGGCTACTGGTCCCCCCTCTCCCAACCTTGGCTGGCCAGCATCCTTGAGCTTCTGGACCTCAGCCACGTGCTGCCTGCATCCGGTTGGAACTGCATCTCACTGGACCTGTCTTCGGTCTGCCCGCACCCCTAGTCCCCCTGCTTACAGGGGCTTAACCAAAGGGCTGTAACACTGCAATATCATCACAGGCTTTTGGATGCTCAAATCTCCACTGCCATCTGGTACCAGCAATCTCATTTTAAAAGAGCTAACCATAACACCCAAGTGGAAAACTCGTTTTCACCTCCCCTGATGAGAAAGGGAGCCTGGCCTAGTGCACAGGCCTTGCCCTGAGGGCTCTAATCGTTCTGAGAGAAATGGAGCCTTAGATCCCAGAGATTTCTCTGTTCCTGTCACAGCCCAGGTTTCTGTCAGACGCAGAACAACACTGCTCTGCCTTCACATTGTCCTGATGCAGGTGGAGTGGGAGATGGATAAGCCCAAGAGGCATGTTGGCACTGATGTCCCCTGCTCAGAGACCTTGGGTCAGTCACCTTACTTTTAGTTCACTCTTCCTTTGTGAAGGAAATTGTTAGATCATTCTATGTAAAACTAAAGTGTTCCCCTCTCTTCAGCCTCCTCTTTACAGTGTCTACTGTCGTGGAGACCCTTTGCACACCAGGACCCAGGCCAGTGCTTTGTGTCCTGGGGCACTGGCCTGGAAGCTTAACAGCCCCAGGGGACCTACAGCCTGGTGGCACAGGGCAGTGACACTGGTAGAAGACTGCATGTACTGGGCTTTCCTGTATGCTAACAGGTTCCCAGACCTGGGATGCAGGAGAAGGCCTCCTGGGCCTTAGGAAGAACTCACTCCCTGGGCATCCCTGTAGAGCTAGCCCTGCTGACCGGTGTGAAGCCAGAATGGCTAACTCGTGGCTGTTCTAGAAATGCTTGCGAAAGGGCAAGACCCTAAGTCATAGTAGAAATAAAGTAAAAAGTGTCCTTTACCAGAAGCATGCTTGTCCTATTTAATGTAAACATCTAAAGAAACTCAGACTGTGACTCATGCCACACAGCACTTGGTCTTTCCAGCACTCCAGCACTGAGCTGCCTTTGGACTTGGTGCTGGCAAACTGCAAAGTTGTACATTGGCTGCTGCTAGTGAGTTCATAGCACACTTCTTTTGCTTTTAGAAGTGACTGGAGAGGCCCGTTCTTATGGAAAGGAAACTGTGGACCTGCGGCTGGGGCGGACCAAAGGAGGTGACCCCACACACTTCCACACCGTGAATGTGGCTCAGCCTGTTCGCTTCAGCAGTAAGTTGCAGACCTGTTCTAAGACAGTGCCCACTAACGTGTTTGTTATCCCGCCTGGAGTTTGCAGCCTTACTTAACCCTGCCTCTCTCCAGGCCAGGGCTGAGGTGTGGGTTTACTAAAGCAGGCCTGGAGGATGTTGGGAGGATGTGAATGAGGCTTCATGCTAGCTTGCCACAGGCATCTGGCTCTGGAGATAAAGGAGACTTGGTACCCAAGAAAGCTCTAAAGCCAGGCTGCATGTTTTCACACTTCAGAGATAGTAACACTGACTCACCCTAAGGAAATTTTGTAGTTGTGTTCTCCTTTTCTAGGTGGAGAACTAGGCTCTGAGAGATTCCATAGCTGCAGAGTGAAAACACTCTCCCTTTTCTGGATTAGTAAATGAGTAACCCACGACATTAAACTTCTCCAGGATTGTAACAAAGCATAGTTTAAAATGCCCTCCACCCTGAGAGGCTGAGGCCCTCTCAGGTTATAACACTTCTTATGTTCAGGAACAGCCAGATCTTTGGCAGAAACTGGTGTTTCCTGCACCTGCCTTGGGGCACCCAGTCTGTTTTCTATGCTAACTCTGAGCCCATGGCCTCAACATGAGATGACTCAGCCCATGCCTGTGCCCTCTGCTGACCATCACCAGTCCTAGAGCTTGGCCACCAAGCTATAGTAACTGCCTGAGCCCAGCACAGTCCGTGCAGTGAGGAGTCCTGGAAGGCCAGCCACCCTGTAGGCTCCCAACACACCTCACAGCTCCTACCCTTGCATGGAGCCATAGTTTTTCGAGCTCTGAGTGGAACTGAGAGAATGTGGCAAATGTGTAACCAGTGTTTGAGCATGTTAAGACACTTGAAATAAGTGCTGCTTCACCCTTACCCTGAGGAAGTCTGTCCTGTTTATACTGAGCCATACTGTCTCTTGCGGGAGGCTGTTCCCTCAGCTCTACGCACTAAGGCGTTAACAGTGAGCACAGTGCTATCCAGCTTGCCATCCTTGCATACAGGACTGTCGCCATGCTTGCCATTTTCTTCCTGGGATTCCTATGTCTTTGTTAATAAGTCACACACACTTTAAAGCTAAACATGAGAATCAGGCTGGTGAAGCAGCTGTTTAGTAGCCCTGGGTTTGATTACTAGCACCCATATGATAGTTCACAATTGTCTGCAACTTCTAACTCAAGTCCCGGGGGATCTAAAGCCCTCTTCTGGCCTCTGCAGGATGATAGCAAAACACCTGCATTCATAAGATGAAAATAACAACATGAGCATAAATTCCTAATAAGTTTTACCAGTTTATGGCCTTCAGGTACACTTTTAAATAACATCTTTTTACAACTGGCTTTGATAAAAGTATAAGAGGTACTCTAGCCAGGTGTACCTGGATGTTAGAGGCAGACAGCTCTCTGTGAATTCAAGGCCAGCCAGAGCTTCATGATGAGATCTCGTCTCAAAGAGAAGGGGTGTGGTGGTGGTGGTGTGGTACTTGCAATAATAAGGGTTGTCTATACAAACAAAACTGATAAGAATGAATCTGTTGAGAGGGAGAGGGGATTTATTAGAATGTCGTATAGGTTGTGGTCCAGCTAGTTTATTAATTGTTGTCTACCAATAAAAAGGTCTAAAAATTCAGTAGTTGTTCAGTCCGTGAGGCAGGATATCTCAGCTCATCTTCAATAGACATTGGAATCCCAAAACTCTAATGCTAGTGAAGGAATGGATTTGCCAGTGAGAGCAAGGACAGCAGGCAGAGTGAAAGCTTCCTTCGTCCATGTGCTTTATTATAGGCTGCCTCTAGAAGATAGAGCTTCCCATCTCAAATGATTTCATACCCTCACAGATGTACCCAGCCACTTGGGTTTTAGTTAATTCCACATGAAATCAAGCAGACAAGCAAGAGTCGTTATCACAGTACCCCATGTTTGAACACCCTAGATTCTGCGATGCACACAATGGGTGCTGCTTCTACTGAGGTGTATAGTATCAGCACTGCCCATGCCTGAGGGGCACATGAACCACCCAACAAAATGAGGTGCTGGAGGTGTCCAGGAGTCAGGCTCTGCCCACCTCTTCAGTTGCTCCAGCTGTGGCAAGCTTCGCCTCCTCCGTGTCATCTCTGAGAGGCAGGTTTGGGTCCTCAGAAATTAGATTTATGGAGCTATTTTAGGGGCATGCTGGTTGGTACCCTGCTGTGTAAACAAAAAAGATGAAGCAGTGGGCTTGCTGGCAGCAGAGGCCAAGACAACTACTCCTGGCAATTTTCTTATTCCCAAGGCCTCAATGAGACTGTAATTATTCTGCTTTGTTGACCAGATGTAGGCAGAGAATTAACTGTTAGAGAAACTATCTCAGCAATTGCTGACTCCTGAGAAGGCTGGAGAACCATGTAAGATTGAGAGGACCCTGAAGACATGTGCTCCCTGGGTTGAATTGTGCTTTTTAGGAGAATGTGATCAGTGTGATCTTAGGGCCAGGAGCTTATCACTGTCAGTGAAGGCACAGCCAGACAAATGACCTAGACCACTCTGTGCGTAAAATGATTCATTAGGTGTCAAGCTGCCAGGACATATATTCTCTCCCGTCCTCCTCCCCCCTCCTCTCCCTCTCTCTCTCTCGGGACAGAGAGAAGAAGAGTGGAGGAAAAGCAAGCGGATTGTATATGACTGTCAGCAGGATGGGGATCTTTGATCTGACTCAGGCTGAGTGGACTGACCTAGTGCCCTTGCCTGAGGTAGTTGACTTCTAGGGAAGAGGAGGGGTGGTGAACAGAGACCCACACCTAGATTCTGTTTACTTAGCCAGAATCTTTCTGTTTAGGACATTTTCCCCAGCACTGCTATTTGGGGAGGCCCTGCCTTGAGCCTATTAATCGCCTCAAGCCCGAGCTCTCCAGCGCGATTCTGAAGTGTGGCTGTTGTTGATAAGGCATATGTAACTTCACTTCATGATCCTAATTTGGGGGACAACTCCCCTTCTGTTCTTCATGCTTCCTAGGGAAATGCCCGACTGGGTGGCACCACTATGAAGGCACAGCCAGCTGCTACCGGGTCTACCTCAGTGGCGAGAACTACTGGGATGCTGCGCAGACCTGCCAGCGTGTGAATGGCTCACTTGCCACCTTCTCCACTGACCAGGAGCTGCGCTTTGTCCTAGCTCAGGAATGGGACCAGCCAGAGCGGAGCTTCGGCTGGAAAGACCAGCGCAAGTGAGTCCTGGGTTCAAAGTCTATTCACTGCTAAGTAGTCACTGGCAGCCCACATTTGGGGAAGACAAATCCCCATCAGTAGAAGCAGGTAGAGATCCAGGGGCCTAGTTTGGCATCAAGATGAAGTTGGGGGCTTGTGAAGGAACAAGGAAGACAGGACACTGTCACTGTTTTGTGGGACCACGGACCAGCCTCTTTCACTGGTTCCCCTACGGATACAGCTACACTTGGTTATTGTGGCCAGAGTGTGCTAACCCCAATCCCAAGGGGCTGCTCAGTGTGGGGCACTGGACATGATAAGAAGAGTACACAGGTGGCTGGGATGTCTTCTGAGAAAGTGAGGCCTGTCATCAATGCTGGGAGCTTCCTATGGCCCTACTTAGGCTTCCAAGTGCATGCACATGGGATCATTGATGGGTGCAGGGCATGTGCCAGGCCTAGCTCAGGCAGTCTGCCACCTGAACTCCATGCCCTGCTCATTTAGAGGAAGCAGAAAAGTGGCAGCCGACCTAAAGGCTCAGTATTTGTGGGGCTTTGGCTTATGGAGCAGGAATGTACCTGAGTGCTCTGGTACCTTTAGAAAGCACCATGTGCCCTATCTGTGCTGTAGCGCTGGAGGTTGGAAATGGCAGCCAGTTGTCTCTCCTTCTCTTTGGGTCGAAAGATGGTCAGTGTTCGCTGCCAGTTACCTGCTGCTTCCCAACAGTAGCACAATTGCCATTCTGCCAGGGGAGCATGATGACCTAAGAGACAAGTGGCAAGAGGGCCATTTCATGATAAGCTCCAGTTATGTCATCCATATATGACTTAGGAGGCTGAGTCAGTAGAGTCACGAACTCAGTTCTAGTCTCCAAAATGGAGACATAGTTATGCTGCAGGAGAAGACTGCTTGCCTTGCAAACTTGAGCCGTTGGGACCAAAAAATGATAAATATCCTCAGTGCTACTAGATACACACCTATGTATTTATATGTGTGTTGTGCCTCATGTGGTCATCAGTGGCTGTCCTCCTGGGTCCTGAGCTCTTTCTCTCTGTCCTCTCCAGGCTCTGGGTTGGCTACCAGTATGTGATCACTGGCCGGAACCACTCCTTAGAAGGTCAATGGGAAGTAGCATTCAAAGGTATTTGTGGTTAAGTTGGAAACCAAGGGAGCCACCCTGACTCAGAAGACCCTGTTGGCATCTCCCTCCCTGCCACCTTCCTCCCAGTGGCTACCTGATTTGTAGGGACACCGGGGGGGTCAAGGCACACGGAAGTGGGGAGTGGTTCCAGAGAAGGCACCCAGGCCGGCATACCGCCTGTGTTTCTGGGACCTTTGCTGGAGCTACAGCAGTCTCTGGCTCTTGCAGTCCTCCAGCCTGTGGTTGGCGTCCTGTTGACACAGGGTCCCCCTTGAGGATGGTGCATGACAGTCTAGCCTCACCTTCAGTCTTCCCCACAGGATCTCCAGAGGTGTTCCTGCCCCCAGATCCCATCTTCGCCTCCGCCATGTCTGAGAGTGACAATGTATTCTGCGCCCAGCTCCAGTGTTTCCACTTCCCTACCCTGAGGCACCACGACCTCCACAGCTGGCATGCTGAGAGCTGCTCTGAGAAGTCTTCCTTTCTGTGTAAAAGAAGTGAGTCCCGGTCAGCCGCTAGCTCTCGCCATGTGTGCTGTGTAGGAGATCCACCCAGCGCACCTCCAGCTCTCAGGCCTGGGCAGCCATGGGTATTCTTGACCTCTGGTTTCCTGTCCTGTAACAGAGACAGTTCCTGCTTTATGCTTCAGTGTCTTGAAGAGATTGGGTGAGAGCAGTGATCTGAGGGCTTGGGAAGCCTGTGGCACCTCTGTAGTGTTGAGAGTCTTAGTGATATATGAGCTGGGCATCCTCTTGGCTGTCTGCTCTGTGTGAACTCTCTTCTCTAATATGTGGAGCCAGGAGTCTTCCCCAGCCCTTTGCCAACACGCCTACGCCCACTCTAATTTACAGCAAGGGCTGTACTTGTACTGTAGACACAGCAAGCAAAGAGCAAAGCTAGGGCTGCCCCCTTCCAGCTAGTCCTCTGGGAAGGGCTGAGGAGGAAAATTGGCCTTGCTAGCTCCTATAGTTGTTGATGCATGGTTCAAGCTCTGACCTTCTGAACTATCCCTTTCTCCGCTCCTGGTGTGTTGATGCTCCCTCCCTCTGCTCAAGCTTGCAGGTACCCGGGACTGTTCTGACCCTGCTCTCTGTCAGTTAATGTCAGCGCACACTTCAAGGGAATAACAACTCAGGCTGCACCTCCATGGCAGTCATGTGTTTCCACTCTCTCTGGCCCTTGCTCTTCTGTGCCATTTTCTCTCCTCCATCAGTTTTAGGGTTTTTGGTTTTTTCCTCCTGGTTTTGGTTTTCCCTCGTAGTGTGGGATTCTCTTAGATACCTGTGCCAACAGTTTTGTGACTTTAGAATCTTCCCCCTGGATTTCTTTACCTCTTCTAGCGGAGGTCTGCGGTAGTGTTGACTGGGAGGACCATGCATTCGCCTGGTGGGTCAGCATCAAGCTTAATGCTTTCTGCAGGATTCTAAAATAGATCCTTAGGGGTAGAGGAGTTGCTTTCCTATTCCTTCTTCTCCAGGAGCATTCATGTCACCCAAGTAATTGTTTTACAAGAAGGCTTTTTCTGGTTTGGGGAGTTGTGTAGGTTTTTCTTCTTTAATCTTATCACTTTGTTCACTGTTTGCTAGACTTTCTTTGGCTCTAGGTTTACTGTGTTGCTCATGCTGATCTTGAACACTTGGGCTCAAGTAGCTGTCTTCAGCCCCAAAGTAGCTAGGACCTCAGGCACTTGCCAACATATTTGATGTTGTGATGTCTGTGTATTTTACATTGCTGAATTTCACTTGCTGGTACTTACCAAGTGAGCCAGACTTGGTACATTCCCATATTTTTGTTATTTTTAAAATGTAATTTAATTTAAGTTTATTGGTACAACTTTTTCTTCATGATTCAGATATTATAAAATACAAACAAAATTAGCTTTCCACAATAAGTAAGTCAACAATTGGCACTAAAAAATATCCCAAGGACCGTGACATGGCTCAGCAGGTAAAGGTGCTTGCTGCTGAGTCTGATAACCTGAGTTCAGTGCCCAGGACCCACTTGGTATTAGGAAAGAACCACCTTCCCCAGGTTGTCTTTTGACCTGCACATTTGCGCTGTGACACATACACACCCACCACACACACACACACACACACACGACACAAGACACATGTGAATAAATTAATTTAAAAATTCTTTTAAGGTTTTTAGATAGAAATGAAAGAATCAGATAGAGATCCAGTTATCAAAAAGAAAGTATTCAACATATTAAAAGTTAACAATAACTTGTGTGGAACGTATAGAAAAGTCACATTTTGCTGGGCCTGTTGGTGCACACTATTTATACCAGCATTGGGAAGGTAGAGGCATGTGGGTCTCTTGAGTTCTAGGCCAACCAGGGCTACACTGTGAGACCCTATCTCAAAAAAAAAAAAAAATATTTTGCCTTTATTAGAAAGGCATTAGGTTTTGAATATGCCAATGTTGGTAGCCAGGTTGTTTGTTTTTAATGAGAAATGGCATTGTAGTGCCGGTCCAACAGTGTTTCCTTTTAAAACAAGTAATCAAGAGGCATCCATGACTCTCTTGGCTGCTCTTCTGGAGGAAACCCTTGGTGGTTGAGGGAAATAGGAAACTAGAGGTGGGACAGCTAGGGATATGCAGTGGCCTAGCGAGAGAGAGAGAGAGAGAGAGAGAGAGAGAGAGAGAGAGAGAGTGCTTACTGGCCAAGTTGAATTCACCCTCTCCTTGGCCATTTTTATTCCCTCTACTACAGTTTGTCTCTTTCTTTTACTCTTTCATCATATAAAGTATAGAATACGGGTAGCTCACTCCTTTAATCCCAGCACTCAGAAGGCAGAGGCAGGTAGATCTCTGGGAGTTTGAGGCCAGCCTGGGCTACCAAGCGAGTTACAGGTCACCCAGAGTTACACAGAGAAACTCCGTCTTGAGAAAAACCAAAAAGTATGGAATATAAACCAGCCCCTCACTGCCTGCTCAGCAGTATCCAATTCAAGCAGTATCAAACTATCTACATACTGATAATTCCCACCAAGTCTCTTGGATAATTGACCAATATACAAAATCTCAGTGTACAAACAGAACTAAAACACACTTAGTTAATGCCCGGAAGCTTCAAATACTCAGCTGAAGTGAAGCACAGTTGCCTTGTGTCTTATCCGTCAGCATGCTGATGTGCTCATGACATGCTCCTGTGTGTGGTGTGTGTTTACTATTTCACATCATGCTTAAGATCTCAGTACCAACCACCCAGATAGAGCAGGTCTTGGGAAGATTGCCTCTCGTCTGTTTCCCCAGCCTAAATAACCGTAAAGTCGATTTTATGACACGACATAGGTCATACTAGGTTGTGATGACATGCTGGGTCCAGCCTCACTGCAGCCCTTCATGAGGTTGGTAGAACCAAGTGTGGAAGCCTGCGTTGGTCCTCTACAGCACGCCGTGTGTGATAACTGGGCTCCAGGCTGTTGCTGCTCACTTCCCCAGCCGCAGCCTTGCTCTTTGAACAAACGTCAGCAGAAAGATTCTTTGTATTATTTTTTAAGCATCGTGTCTGTGTGTGTCTTTGAGCGCTTACGTGTGTACACATGTTGAGTTAGAGGACAACCCTCAGACTTGTTTTTCCACCATCTGGATTGAACTCAGGTCATCAGTCTTGGAAGACAAGCGTTTTTCCCAAGATGATTTTTTCTAAATAAGGTTGACCCCAGGGTACTGTCTAATCTGTCAGAACTGTCTTTGTCATGCTAGTTAAATTCTCTTACCAGGTCTGGGGAGGTGTAGCTGCAGTACTCCTTGACTGCCTTAGCAATGGGCATGAATTTTTCTATAGGGCTCCTGCTTTTCCATCTCTCAGCATTTGTTGAATAAAATAAGTAATCTTGTTCTGTGATTAGAATGTGCTTAACACAGCTGCCAATTACATACCCTCCACCTCTGGAATGATGTGGTTGGCTCCTCCACTCTCTGGTACAGTACCCATCAAAGCCTATTCTCCTGCTTGAGTTTTAGAATGTAGCTAAAATAAGAACAGCCTGTGTAAGCATGGAACATTAAAAGACTCCGCTAGTATTCCGGCAGTCTAGTCCTTTTTCCTGGTGTAGTCAGATGAGATTTAACAAAGACTAAGTAATGGTCTTCAGGCTCTGCCCTTAAGTGTTTAAAGATCACATAACACTTTCCATTGGACTGAAATCTTTTTTGGTTTTTCGAGACAGAGTTTCTCTGTGTAACAGAGTCCTGCCTGTTCTGGACTCACTTTGTAGAGCAGGTTGACAAAACTCACAAAGGCCTGCCTACCTCTGCCTCCTAAGTGCTAGGATCAAAGGTGTGTGCCATCACGCCTAGTAGCAGGCCGAAATCTTTATCTGTAACATGGCAGAATGGCCACTTTACTGCATAATAGACTCATTAAAACCACTCCATCACCCTTTGAGTTTTGATTACCTACTTTGTGCCTGTGCTGTCAGTAGCAGCACAGGCGATAATGAAATGTGGCTGTTTCCAGCTTCTCCTGGTGTTGTATATCCTGTGCCTGCTGTCACCATCTGCTGTGCTGGTTGAAGCCAAGGCTTGACAGCAGATGAGAGCTCCCTGCCTATCTACAGCCAGGCTACCCTCTGGGGTAGGGCTGCTGGGAAGCTGAAGCAGCAGTAAACTAGGAAGCAGTTCCCTGCACTCTCTAAATCTATGCATGTTGAAGATAATCTTGTCTTTGTATGTCTGACAGACAAGACTGTAGGGCCATCTGCCCTGGGAGGGGAAAGCAGGGGGAACCGGGTGTAACCTAGGGAAAAGCTCCGAAGACACTGTAATGTTCTTTGTGTGACCTAACTGTGTTTGTCCTACTAATTCAATGTCTGTGGGAAATTAGAGATACTACGGACTTATATCAATGTAGTGTATTTAGTAAGAACAAAGACATACTATTATGTAAGCGTAGTACATTTTTCAACTTCAGGACATTTCATTTGACTGTAATACCATACCATCATTAACAATCTATTGTTCCAGTTTTGTCAGTGGTTCCCATAATGTCCTTTTACTGCTGGTTGTTGTTTTGTTTTGTTTTGTTTTGTTTTTGTTTGTTTGTTTGTTGTTTTCCCAGTCTGGAATCCAGTCCAGAATCATTGCCTCTGCCCACCATTTTGTCTTGGCCTCATTTCTCTCCTCTGAGTTCTTGCCATTGTATGTCAGGCGTACTCAAGAGCCTGTTAGAGGGCCACTTGCTTTACTCTTTCTGTCTGTGCCTGCTTGATCTTTTCATTTTTTGATTAAATTTCCCATCTGTAGTGGTTTGGATAAAAATGACCTCATAGGCTCATACCTGAACGATTACTCACTAGGGAGTGGCACTATTTGAAAGAATTAGAAGAACTGGGAGGTATGGTCTTATTGGAGAAAGTGTGTCTCATGAGAGTTGCCTTGGGGGGCTGGAGAGATGGTTCAGTGGTTAAGAACACTGACTGTTCTTCAAGAGGACCTGGGTTCAATTCCCAGCACCCACATGACAGTTCACAACTGTCTGTAATTCCAAGATCTGACATTCTCACACAGGTATACATGCAGGCAAAACACCAATGCACATAAAAATGAATAAATAAATTATAAAAAACATTTATTAAAGAAGAGTTGCCTTGGTCGTGGTCTCTCTCCACAGCAATAGAACAGCAGCTAAGATACCATCTGACCTTGTGCTCGACCTGTCTTTGCCGTTAGGCCCTACTGTACAGGGCTGCGGACTTTCGTAGTCTCTGTGTTAGAGCTGGCTCTGCTTTTGCTGGCCGCTCTTGAGAGCATGGTGGGGGCTCTTAATTTTCATTAAAAAGCAAACATTTGTTCATGACAGCAGACATTGGTGCTTGCAGCTTGGTCTGTTGTTCGGGAGAGCCTTCATGCCAGGGGAAGGTAAGGCTGGCCTGCCCTTAGCACAGGTACACGTGGATGCCAAGATGTAGAAGTTGCTTCTTCACCTCATATTCTGAGATGATCTCTCACTGAAACTGGAGCTTTTTGCTTTAGAGAGGGCCAGTGGTCCGTTAGACCTGCTTTTCTCTCCCCTAACCCCCAGAGCCGGAGTTGCTGACCTACATGGCCATCCTGACTCAATGTGGGATTAGAATTCAGATTCTGAAGTTTATACAGCAGGCATTACCCAGAGAGCCATCTCCTCCGCCCTAAATAGCTTTTCATATCCGCATTGTTCTGATGTCTGTCTGTGCCGTTTTTCTATTTCCTATTTGGGTTGTTTATCAGTTCTTTTACTGTTGAATTTTAAAGGTTTTTTCTGTCTGTTTTGTTTTATGTATTCTAGGTATCAGATAGGTGGTTTGCAAACATTTTCCACAATCTATAATTTGTCTTAATTTTTCACAGGGGTGGTTTGGTTTTTTGTTTGGCTTCTCAAGACGGTTTCTCAAAGATCCAACTGTGCCTCTGTCTCCCACGTGATGGGATTAAATGTGTGCCCCACCACACCTGGCTTTCACAGGGGCTTTAATGAAACAAAATTATTTTATTAAACATGCTGAGGACTGACTAAACCCAGATCCTCTGGAAGAACAACCAGCGGTCTTAGCCACACAAACCCATCTCTCCAGCGTCCTTACAATATTGACACTGAGTTATTTTTTTATATAAGTTGTGAAGTTGAGTTCATGATTCCTTCATGTAATACAGTTACTCCAGCATGCACGTTGTTTTAGAACATTTGTTAGGCATATGTTTTCTGTATACAGCTGAGCTGACAGTTGGATAAGTACGTACTATTTTATATGGCCGTTGATACATTTATTTAGTAATCTCTTTATATTGGTGTGAGCAAAAATTTGGGCTCAGGGGGTCTTGCAGAGACTAATGACTCAACCAAGGACCATGCATGGAGAGGACCTAGACCGCCCTGTTCAGATGTAGACCATGGGCAGCTCAGTCTCCAAGTGGGTTCCCAAGTAAAGGGAGCAGGAGCAGTCTCTGACTTGGACTCTGTGGCCAGCTCTTTGGTCACCTTCCTCTGGCGAGGTGGCCTGACTCAGGCCACTGAGATAGAGGATCCAGATAGTCCTGATGAGACCTGATAGGCAAGGTTCAGATAGTAGGGGAGGATGACCTCCCCTACCAATGGACTAGGAGGGACATAAGGAGGGGAAGGAGGGAGGGTGGGACCCAGAAGAGATGAGGGAGAGGGCTACAGCCAGGATACAAAATGAATAAATTGCAATAAATAATAATAATAAAGAAAAAAAAATTTTAATTGGTGTGAGCATAGAACCCAGAGGCTCCCACATGCTAGGCAAATGTTCTGCCATTGGACTATGCTGCATTGATCGATCACAGTTGCTTTTTAATCAGGTAAGAGAAGAAGGAAAGCTGGGTATAGTGATGGTCAGCTTTGTTCCCAACACTAAGGATGCAGAAGCAGATGGCTCTCTGCAAGTTACATAATGAGGCAAGGCTACACAGTGAGATCCTGTATCAAAAAGAGAGAAGAGCTGGTTAGTGATGGCACACATCTTTAGTTCCAGCACTTGGGAGGCAGAGGCAGGCAGATCTCTGTGTTCAAGGACAGTCAGGGTTACACAGAGAAACCCCGTTTTGAAGAGGGGAAAAATAAAAGAAATAATGAAAGGAAGAAGAGAGAGAGAGGGAAGAAACATTGGATTATAATTGCCTCCTGTGCAGCTTGCATTGGGTGTGGATTTGAGTTGCTGTATTGGACTAACTTGCCACAGCCTGAAGAGCTTCCTTTGGTAGTTCTTTAAGGCAAGTCCTTCAGCAATTGCAGATTTTGTTTGGCAAGTGTTTACTTTGCCCTTCAGGGTGCACTAGACTGAGCCCAGTCCTTCATGTGTGCTAGGCAAGCGTTCTACCACTGAGTCACACTGTCCACTCAAACATCCACTCAAACTCTCCGCTCAGACCTTCGCTGTGTCTGGTTTTCCTTTAAGCCCTTTATGTTGCCTACAGTTGTTTCTTCTGAGAAGTTAGTTGTTAAGTTTACCAGGGTCCCTTACAAGCCACAAGTCATTTCCTGTGTCCTACTTTAAATAGTTTTACCTTGTCCGGGGCTGGAGAGATGGCTCAATGGTTAAGGATACTGGCTGCTCTTCCAAAGGACCTGGATTCAAATCCTAGCACCCACATGGTAGCTCACAGCTGTTTATAACCCCAGTTCCAGGGGACGCTATGCCCTCACACAGATATACATACAGATAAAAACGCCAATGTAAAGAAAATATTTAAAAAACATATCTTCACCTTGTATCTATGCTTGCAGCTGATGCATTGCAGGGTAGCTATGGAGCCCAACACATTTGTAGATGATGTCATGGGACAGTGTCAAAAGCTTGGATGGTCCTGTTAGATTTTCAGTGTTTTTATTGTAATGTGCCCTTTTGTGAAATTTTTTGTCTTTAATCCTGTTTAGTGTCTGTTGCATATCCTGCATGTAGGGTCTTGTTTTTACTGCATTGGAGACATGCCCAGACAGCATTTTAAAACTAGTTTTCTGCTCCCTTCTCCTCCTGGCACTTGCATTTGACACATGGGATGCTTAATGGATCTGATGGTTCTCTGCAGATCATGTTTCTTTTTCCTTGTTCTTTTCTCACTGTTGTAGCAGAGAAAGTTCTATCTTTCTTCCCCTGAACGTTGATGGCCGTGTGGGTAATCTGATCCTAGTTCTAACAGAAGAGAGCCATAAGATTTCCAAAATCTCTTTGTGGACACGCCCATGCCAGTCCCTTTCCTCATGCTTTCCCTCCCCTGTACAGCTGTCACATCTGCTGACTAGCCTGAGGGGCTGGCTGTAGCCCTTTGCCTTGCTGTAGTCTGTAGGAGCTGCCTCTGTGCTGGTTACTACACACACCTCAGCTCCGGGGGACCATCTTGCCAAGCAGTACCTAGGGACCCAGTCTAAACACACTCCAGTTTTTAAAGAGCTAATATCCATAACATCTACACTTAGTACTCAGAAAAGCTCATACATTAACCAAGCACCTTAAAAGCAAATGCTTCTGTGGGGACCTTTACCCTGAAATCTGCCATTCCTGTTCTGAGCTGGTGGGCTCCTCCATTTGTCTTGGCCAGTTGTGTGTGTGTGTGGTGACTGCCTCAGACCCATAGCACGCTGTACAGGGAGTACTTGCATAAGATGCGGCCAGTCCTCGGTTGCCCTGTTCCCTCCAGAGGTGCAGTGGTGGTGGGGAGCCGGGGCTCAGCGCTGCTGGTAACGCGTCCGTCCGTGCATGTGCCCCCTGCAGGTCAGACATGTGTTGATATCAAAGACAATGTGGTGGATGAAGGCTTCTACTTCACCCCCAAGGGAGACGACCCGTGCCTGAGCTGTACCTGCCATCGAGGGGAGCCTGAGATGTGTGTGGCTGCTCTGTGTGAGCGGCCCCAAGGGTGCCAGCAGTACCGCAAGGACCCCAAGGAGTGCTGCAAGTTCATGTGTCTGGACCCAGGTGAGACAGCCACCCCTGGCCGAAAGCAGTGGTGAGGACGCTCAGGAGCTTGTACATGGTACATGACAGCAGTGCTGACAGCGACTACTTCATGTAGCTGGTCATGGGCCTCAGTAGGCGTCTGTGAAAGTCCCCTGTGACTGCCTCCCTTCACATGGCCTATTTTCCACTCTAAGGTAGTATTTACAAATAAGCTTGACTCTCAGCATGGCTGCTAGTTTACAAATTGGCAGCTTCAGACCTGTCTTTCACTTTTTTAGTTTTTGGTTTTGTTTTTCCTTTTTTAAGACAGGGTTTCTCTGTGTAGCCTTGGCTGTCCTGGACTTGCTTTGTAGACCAGGCTGGCCTTGAACTCACAGTGATCCACCTGCCTCTGCCTCCCTGAGTGCTGGGACTAAAGGCATGCGCCACCACACCCAGCTTCCCCTTTTTTTTTTTTTTTTATCATTATTATTATGTGTCCAATATCTGCATGTATGCCTTCACATCAGTAGAGGGCACCAGATCTCATTATAGATGGTTGTGAGCCACCATGTGGTTGATGGAATTTGAACTCAGGACCTCTGGAAGAGCAGTGTTCTTAACCTCTGAGCCATCTCTCCAGCTTCACTTGTTAAGAATAGAGATAAACTTGAAATTTACATGAACATTTGAGTTCTTCCTCCTTGTATTGTGGTGTGATGTAGAAGGTAGTTGAATAAATAGTCCTTGCCGTAGTCATCAGTGTCAGAAAGATTATGCCCTAGTGTTAGGACAAAACTTCACCACCAGGTGGTGCTCTAAGATGTACACTAGGTGGCCAAGTTTCAGGCTTACTGTCCTCCTTCCGCTTGAAACAGAAGAACATTCATGTGGCTTTGATGTTTTCAGTGATGGAGCATTTATCTAGCATGTGCAAAGCCCTAGGTCCTGTATCTACTACTGGTGGGGAAACCCAACAGGTTTGAGTTCTGCTCAGAACACCACATGGCGCCCTTCTTTGCTGTATATCCAGCCACTGACATCCCAGCATGCACTCAGGTCTCAGGGAGTATGAATTTTAAAAGCATCAATTTATTTTTTCCTTTGATGCCACGGTGTGAAAGTGATGTGGGCAGGCCCAGCAAAATAGCTGGTTGGGAAGGCATGAAGATTGATCTTCATCCTCTAGGAGCTCTGTGGAAGGGAGGCTAGAGCTTGGAGTATGAGGCCATAGCAGTGAGTACTGTCCCCTGAGCCGAATTGCCGTCACTGTCCCTCCAGGAGGGCTGCTAGGAGAATAGAACTGTCCTTTAGAGGCTGTGTCTGAGGCTGGACAGAAGCAGGCACTCTGGCACACGTACCATCAGACGTGCAGTTAGCTTCAGTCAGTGCAAAGGCTGTGCTTTTGGCAAAACCCCACCAGGATGCAGAGAGCATAGGATCAGGGGGATTGACACTTGGACCTCCTCCTTCCCACAGAACTTCTCATGGATGCCTCCACTATACAAATACCAATATCTGAGTTCAGGGTTCCGCTCCTTGGGGCTGGCCCAGTGCTGGTGCTGCCCTGCCACTCAGTCTGGGCTCTGAAGACATGATCAGGCTAGGTAGGGTGGCCCATCTGCGCTGTGCTGCGCTTAGCCTGTAGGCCTGCCCACCATGGGGACTTCTCAAGCAGAGCAGAACCTTAATGTGGCAGACCAGACCTTCTGCGACCACTTCCCCAGGTCAACTGGAACTTGCCCTACTGTGCCCGTTCCCACAGGATCTTTTGCACACAGACCTTTCCTAGGAATTACTGGTCTGCACCAAGGGCCGGCCCTGCCGCTAGAAGTAGAGACAATAGGAGCAAAGCCTCAGCAGCTACATCGCTTCCCGTTAGCAGTGCAAGGGCCCAGCGCTTACCCAAGACCAGACTCATTGCCAGAGGAAGTGGAAGATAAGCATTTGCAGCAAGGGACAAGAAATCCTCCCTCTTTGCAAATGATGTAATTACAAAAAATGTCCTGGAGGATCCACAGAAAAATTATTAGAACTACTAATGTATTTAGCAAGGTCTTCAGATATAAGTTCAGTATGCAGAAATCCATTGATTTATGTATACTATTGGTAACAGTTAAGCACTGAAAATTTACAGAAAGCACCACCTAAACTAGTACCCCAAAATAAGAATTATCTAACTGTAAACTTTGCTGCCAGCAAACACTGAGGGAAGAACAAAGTTAAAGACTTAAATAAAAAGAAAGATATCATGTTCCTGGATGTTAATTCTCCCCAAATTAACCATAGATACAGCTATAAGCGCCACCAAAATGGCAGCTGTTGTATTTTTTTTTTAAGATTTATTTATTTATTTTAATACGGTATTCTGCCTGCATGTGTGCCTGTGTACCAAAAGAGGGCACCATTTCAATATAGATTGTTATGAGCTCCCTTGTGGTTGCTGGGAATTGAACTCAGGACCTTTGGAAGAACAGTCAGTGTTCTTAACCTCTGAGCCACCTCTCCACGCACAGCTGGTGTATTCCTTATCTCGAATGGCAAAAAAGCTAAAATAGCCCAAACGGTTTTTTACAAAGAGAGAAGGTTTATGATGCCTAACTTAGGACCTAGAGTTTCATCTTATTAATCAAAGCAGGATGGTATAGGTGGAAACAGCTGTACATCGATAAGACAAAGTACTGAAGTGATGCCGATATGGCCCGGTCGTACTTGTCAAGCAAGGAAGCATGATTCAATAGAGAAAGCAGCGTCTTTGAACTAGTAGCTGGGACAGGCAGCTGGCCTTGACAGCCTATCTGCTACTTTCCTCCAGAGTGAGTCAAAAGTCTCATAAGCCAGACTAGAAAATGCTAAAGTATGGAACTTCTGTGAGAAGATAGAAGGGGAAATTTTTTCTCAGGCGATATACAGAAATATAAATACAGCATGATCTTTATAAAGGTTGTTAAGTTACATTGCATTAAGCTTCCAACCTGATAGAGTAATGAAAAGACAAACACAAGCCACTTACCAGGAAAGAGTAGCTCTAAAACATAAGTCCAGACCTAATTCCTATATTCAGAACACATAAAGAACTCTAGGGACTGGGAATGTAACAATTCATACCACATTTGCCTGGCATGCATGAGTGCTTGGGTTTGATTCCCCAGAACTGCAAAGTAGAGCATGGCGGTGCAAACCTGTAGGCAGCAGGGTTAGAAGGCCAAGGGCCATCCTTGGCTGCAGAACAAGTTTGAGGCCAGCTTGCGATATATAAGACTTTGTCAAAAAACAAAATAAAAACACAATAATAAGAAAATGCAACTGTATTTAAAATCATTTAAATTATACTTCCCCAAAGAAGATATGTAACTATTCTGTGAAGGACCTGGAAAAAAATATTCGATATCAGTCCTATAGGAACCCAGTCTATGTGGAGCAGAAGAGATTGAGAGTTAATAGTACCAAGTGCTGGCTTGGAGTGGCTGGAATGCTCTTAAGTCCTGTTTGACCGCCATCTGGTGGTTGTTCGGCTCTGCTTTGTGCTGACTAGTCTGTCAGCTTGGTCCTAGATGTGTCTTCCTGGTCCCCACAGTGGAGGGGCAGTCCTCAAGCTCATTTTTAGAACTGATTAGGAAGTAGTCTTGCAAATGGCTGCTTCCTTAGCTACTCCCCTGGGAACTAAGGGCAGGCCACCAGTGGCCAGGCCTGTGGCCGTCCCACAGACAGGGACCCTGGAGGGCCATGAGAGGCAAACAAGCAGCCTGACTGTCCTGGAATGGAGCTTACTCTGTAGACCAGGCTGGCCTTGAACTCAACAGAAATCCTTCTGCCTGTCCCTCCTGAGTGCTGGGATTAATGTCATGTGCCACCACTGCCCAGCTGTACTCGAAAATTTTAAGCATCACTTCCTGGTCAGATGAGAAGAAGGCAGAACCAGCTGGGGCCATGTGTATTGCTCTAGGTCAAGCTGGCAGGTGGCAGGATTTGTTAGGACTCTGTAGCCTGGCTGTTCATTTGTAGGTTGTGGAGTATATTTTTTTTCCTAGGCTAATCTTTGGGCACCTGCCTCCCAAAACTGTTGTAGAGGTGGGGAGTGAACAGCCCTAGATCTTCCTGAAGCCTAGTAGGTCACTGCATAGGCTGGACCCTCCTGCCTCCGGGAGGGGCCACACCCTAACCCGTCAGCCTGAGACTTTCTAGGTTAAGAGCACATCAGGAGCACCAGTCGCACAGTGCAGGCACTTGGCAGTAGAAACTACCTGCTTCCATACCTGGTTGTGTACATCATCTCTCACATGTATCAGTAGCTCATAAGCATGTGAGAGACCCACGTGAGAGACCCACGTGTGTACTGTGTCCATCTTGGTGTACCGACATGCTGGACCATATAGAGTGGGGAGGGGCTTCCTCGCTGCCTGCTAATCAGTGTCTCTAGCCTGTACTCACTAAACGCCCCCTCCCTAAGTCATGACCACCAGAAAAATGGGAAGACTGAGAAAGGGTCTCCAGGTTGGACCAGTTTCTTGGTCTCCAGGGCAGTAGGAAGGCAGTTAGCATCCTTTTTCTTCAAAATTCATCCAGCAAATTTGTTGCTGGCGCTGCCCCACCCCTCCTGAATCCACGTATGGAAAGTCTGCTTTAGGCGTGTTCAGCGAAGGCTGCTCTGGGACCTAAAGGGCTGCCGTGTGTGGTGGGCCCAGGCTGGGCATGCGGTGAGATTGTGATTTCTGTGCTGCAGCCTGAGAACCCACAGCCGCAGTGGGAACTTCTCGGACAGTGTCCACGTTAACTCCTGTGAATCCTGGCCCAGATGGTTGTTGAAAGACGCTGTGTAGCAGCTGTCCTGCCTGCGGTCCTTCAGCTGTGCAAGTCTCTGCTTTCTTACTTGGTGGCACTTGCAGCCTCAGTTCACAGTGGCCAGTGAGAAAACCAGGGTGAAACCAGATAGCTCCCCTGTCCTCCAGCACAGAGGTGGCGCCCGTTTGTACGGCGCCTTTGAAGGCTTGTGAGCTGTGTTCCTTTTCTTGCTTTTTCAGTGTTGTCACAGTATTAATTCTGAGCGGTTTTCTTTTACCCTCTGTATCAAAAGTTGCCAAGGACATTGTAAAAGCCCCTGGGGTGGAGGGAGACGCCTGAAGCAGCCCGAGCACTCAGAACATGCCTGCATTTGTTCCACCCACCCCAGCCCTGCAAGTTCCTTTTCTCAGAGCAGCTGGTTTCCTTCCTCCTCACCCTCCTCATAGATGGCAGCAGCCTGTTTGACTCCATGGCGAGCGGGATGCGCCTGGTCGTCAGCTGTATCTCCTCCTTCCTCATCCTCTCGCTGCTGCTTTTCATGGTCCACCGGCTGCGCCAGCGGCGCCGAGAGCGCATCGAATCCCTGATTGGAGCAAACTGTGAGTGCTCTGCAGGGGCCACAAGAGTGACACATGCACCACCACCATCACCCCCAGGTCTCCAAGTCTCCCCTGTCCTGAACTGTGACCCTCCACAGAGGCGGTGTCTGTGATAAGATGGGACTGAACATATGTTGGGATACAGGGTACACCCGAGAAGGTACACATGGCCTGAAGTTCAGGATAGGCCTCTGCCTTCTCAGCTCTATATCAAGAGCAGTATCCCGAACATCCAAACACTTTCTCCTGATGAGCTGAGTGTGGCCACCTGCCATAGGAGAAGGCTCAGATACCAGCCACAGCAGGCAGCTGAGAGAATGTCTTTGACAGAATTCCTCATCTGCTTTTGGCTGGAAGGCCCCTCCTTAGCAATTGGAGGGTTGGGAGCAAGTTGGCAACAGTTACAGGGGATCGAACCTGTTCTGTGTAGGGGTTTCCAGTGTTTCCTAGGCAGGTTAAAGCTTGCACCATCAACTAGGGCCCTGAAACTTCAGCCACGAGTAGTAGTCCTTGTAATCACCTTTATGCGCACTTAAGCTTCTCTAGTAGATGGATACCCACAGACTACAGCAATGCCAAGGGCTGCTCCTGCAGTCAAGTGACAGGACTGGAAAGGGTTGTATAAGTGGGGTGAGGGCACTTTGGTTAGAGAGACCCAGGGGTGAGAAGTTCTGGCGAAATCAGGGTCTCATGTGACACGTGGATATGTCTGGGAAGTGGGTAGCTGGTTATAGGAGTGTGAAACTGGGGTGGTCGGCTCAGCCTTGGGACGGACACTCAAGAGCCAGCAGCCTGCCGCCAACTTACACGGCTTCCCTCCTGTTTTTCTGTTTGGCTCAGTGCACCATTTCAACCTTGGTCGGAGGATCCCTGGCTTTGACTATGGCCCAGATGGGTTTGGCACCGGCCTCACTCCACTACATCTTTCTGACGACGGGGAAGGTGGGACTTTCCACTTCCACGACCCTCCACCTCCTTACACAGCTTACAAGTACCCAGACATGGACCAGCCGGATGATCCACCACCGCCCTATGAGGCTTCCATCAACCCAGACAGTGTGTTCTACGACCCTGCAGGTGCCTGTCCATCCTAGGGAGAGGGAATATGGAATTGTCAATCTGTCAGGAATGCTGGCTTGGGACCACAGGGTTTCCTGGGGCCTGGGGACCTTTCCTTTCTTTCTGGATACCTTTCCAGTCTTTAGGGCCCTTTCCAAGACTGCCCCTGACCTCTTCGGGGTGGTAAGAGTTCTGGGGAGCCATTGGCAGCACTCTTCTCTTCCTTCCATGAGCACCTGTTAGTGGTGTAGCTCTCAGGACCTTCAGCCCATATTTGTGATGGACAGTAGGGATCATAAGGACAGAACTGGTCCAGGCTCAGCTCAGGAGCTTGTTCTGAACCGTTAGACACCCTTGTAATAGTCCCTCATGTTGTCTCAACAAGCTGCTTGTTTCCCCCGACCCTAAAAGCTGTTCTTCCTAGGCTGCATAGCCAAGGAAGAGTGTCCAGTGTGCCCCTTGCCTGGCTTATTAGGGAGGAGTCCTGTCCTCTCCCGTCCTGTTCTGTGTGTGGAACATGCGTGGCTCCTTATAGGCCTGCACTCTGCAGGAATGGAACCTTTAACACTGCTGCAGTCTAGGGCTATGAGAATTTGATTCCTGCCTTCAGAGCAGATGATCAAAAATTATTGCCCAAGAGTCAGAGCTGGGGCAAAGCTCAGCTGGCAGCATGTTTGCCTAGTATGCTAGAGGCCCTCCTTGGATCTTCACACTGCAGAAGGGTTGACACAGAAGGTGAGCTTTCTGATGACTGCTCTAGATAGCTGTAGATCCCCACTCCACAGCCTCTGGGCCTTGGGGCAGGGTTCTGGGTCTCTGGAGACTGGTCAGGAAGTGGGGATGGAGACAGCTCATAGCCAAGGCCTCTGGTCACCAGCGTTTAGAAACAGCCCAAAGTTTGCAGCAGGGTAGATTGAAGAACACCTTGGGCTGACACCAGTAGCTCTCAAGTCTGCCTGTTCCCACCCAACCCCCTTTGCTCTAGTTGCTCTAGTTCTTCTGCAGCCCTGGGTGCCTGTCCGGAAGCTCTGTCCTATGTGCTGCTGCTGAGTCAGAGGTGGCTTTCCTCGAGTGTCCCTTAGTCCTGACGAGTCAGTCACTGCTTCTTACCTCCCACACACAGTGGTAGCACAATGAACTTTGTTCTGCCAGAATGTTAGCACTCAGGGACCGGGGAGTGTTTAAGGAGGGAGTCCTCATTCTGCCCAGGCCCTCACTCACTTCTGACACCCTTCTGGTCTCCTGCAGATGACGATGCCTTTGAGCCCGTGGAGGCCAGCCTGCCAACCGCAAGGGATGGTGGCATTGAAGGTGCATTGCCCAGGCACTTGGATCAGCCGCTGCCCCCTGCAGAGAGCTCCTTGGCAGATCTGGAAGACTCTACAGACAGTAGCAGTGCCCTGCTTGTACCTCCTGATCCTGGCCAGAGTGGGAGCACCCCGGCTACAGAAGCACCGCCAGGGGGTGGTCGCCTTCCCCGTGGCTCCCTCAATACTGTGGTTTAGGTGGCTCAGCTCACGGCCCCAGTGGGCTAGGAGTATCTGTTTCCTGTTCTGAAGACACCTATCCCAGTGGGAAACTTTAAAGGGTCCTGTCGTAGCCTGGACCTACTCCACTGCCACATCCTACCAGCAGCGGATGTGTACATAGAAACTGAAGCCAGGCACTGAGAGAGGAGTCAGTGCCCTGTGCCATCCTTACCTGAGGGCTGTTAGTCTCTTTTTTAAATGGTAGAATGACACAGGTGTTGAAACCACACATTTCCAAAAGAACAGAGGCAGCGGGCTACACTCACCAAATACATCTTTGGATGGGCTTGCTTACTGCGCTGTCTCGCCCACAGAAGCCAGTCTTCCCCAGTGTAGACAGTAGGGCTAGCGCTGGTGGCTGCTTAGAGGCAGCAGAGCGTCTGTGGACTGCTCCCAGGGAAGGCATTCACAGCTGCTGCACTGGCTCTCTGGGGCATCCTGTCCGGGCTCAATTGCGAATATCAAGGTGCCGATACCTGGGAGGAAATTTAACTTGCCACCCCGTTTCTAGCTTTGCTTTGAGGCCAGCACGGTGCCAGGAGGCCCCTACTCATTCCTAGCACTCTCCATGGCATAGCTCTGCATGGCTCCCCAGGAGTAGACGAGGCCCCTGTGGAGGGTTGGTGCTGGCTTTTCTCTGCCACACTCTGGATCCCTGTGCTCTGCTTGCTGGTGACCTGCCAGCTGCCTTCGCCTTGCCTGTGCCATAAAAGGTTGTTTGGGAAGAGAAGGGCACAAGTGGACACCCTGTGTTGTGTCATCTGAGTGCCCTTCGCCCAGGACCACTGCTGGAGCCCAGTGTCTGCCAGCCACGTACATGCCTCCCAACCCTCCACAGCACAGGGCTTTTCTAGCCAAACAACCCTGTTGCCAGCTCCAGCTACATGCAGTGGTCTTGTCTCCTGACACAGGCCTGTGGCATTTCTAAGGTTTGGAGATCAAGCAAGGTTCTGTGCAATTTTTAGCACAATCGTGTCTTTTCTATGTTGGATGTCTGGGTTTTTCTGTATCTATGTGTGTCTTCATGTGGCCAAATGTTTGCAGGTGATGGTGGTTCACAGGAGCTCAGGGTTGGGGAGGAGGGGGTCCACCACAGCCATTTGCCCTTGGTCTGCTCTTAAACCACTGTGTCTGAGCTTCTTCGTAGACATCTGTCTGCGAGGTCAGCGGCGCTGCGACTCCTTTCCAGATAAGAGCATGAGCGGGAGAAGCGACTGAGAGCTCCAGTTCTGCTGTGCTTGTTGCAAACCTGCACAGTTCTAGGCACATCCTTACACTACTTGGAAACTTGTTTCCCCTTCCCACAGGCAACATCTTCAGACCAGATCCCCGGGGCTGCCTGGAGGTCAATGGACAGTGTCCCAAGTCTGAGCCCACAGACCAGCTGTGCAGACATCCTTCTGCAGAGGGATCTTGCCCCCTACACCCATTGCTGAGAGCAGCAGGGAGCTCATCATGTCTCCAGCAAGTACTGAGAGCTGGGTGCTGGGCAGCCATGCTTCAGAGCAACAGTGGGGAATCACATTGGTGCCAGGCCACCCAAAAGAGTCCTAAGAACCACACAGCAGTGCCTCAGAAGGCCATATGTACTGACTGAAACTTATCTGGGGACCAAATGGCTGTTGGGGTTGGACCTGAGTCTAGGAGGCAGAGTTGAGGAGGGTGACCTCATGTGGACTGTTACTGCAGAGTGGACCCGTCAGGACTGCGGGGTCTGTCCAGCATGCCTGCAGAGTGCATGGAAGGCCTGTGTTTGGGGCTATTCAGACTATTGTTATTCCAGTTCTGAGCACTGGGGTCTGCCAGCTCTTACTGGCAAATAATCCCAAGTCCAGGATTTGTTGAGGTTTGTGTTTCCTTGCCCGTCACACAAGGCCCCAGAGAGACAGGCCAAGCTCCTAGGGAGGCCCCTTTCCCAGGACTGCCTTGCCACACTTCTGAGCCCTCTGACCTGCCTTGAAGTGGAATTTGATACTGTACATTGTCTCAATGCCTGTTTTTACATACTCCTTTCACTAAAGGTTTTAGTTTGGGTGTATTTTTGGTCGGGTTGGCATTAATCCTTTCTTAAGATGCTGTGAGAACCATTTCATCCAATGCCAAATAAACTTGTGTTATGGAAAAGACATGGTCCATCCTTGGTGAGGCCCAGCCGCATAGCCAGGGCTCTCTGAAGTTTTCAGCCCTTGTGGGCACCCAGCAGGTGTCTGACACCCCTTAGGTTGTGGACCAGACAGCTGCATGTGGAGCCCCCGCGCAAGGTTCATGTCAAGCGGCCATGCTGTGCTCCCTTGGAGGTGTTGCCAGAGTGGCTGGCAGAGCTGCCTTGCATCTGTCTGCCAGGGCTGGGGATCTGAGTGCTAGTGACCAGTGTGGCACAGGCTGAGAGGGAAGGGCATGGGGCTTAATATTCGGTGGGTGTAGGCAGCCCCTTCCAGCAGAGCAACTGTGGAAGAGGGCCTGGCTACCCACACCCAGGGCCGGCTGGACCAGGCCTCCCCCTGCAGGGTCTATGAAAGATCTCATCTACAGAAGATCAGATGACCTTGTTCCAGAGGTCCTGTGCCCCCTCCTGGAAAGAGGGGGGATTTATACCCACACACTGGCACTCAGCCCACAGGGTGGGGGAGCTGGGGTGAGAAGCCGGGAAAGCATGGTAGCCTCCCAGATACTATAGTTTTGCTATTGTTTCTGTGGGACACCAGGGTTCTCTATAGAAAGTTCTGGAAAGAGTCCTTAAGCTCACTTTCCTTTTAATATATATATATATATATTAAATATATATATTATATTAAATATATAATAAATATAATAAATATATATATTAAATATATATATATATATTTGGGGCTAGGCATGGTAGCGCATGACTTTAATTTCAGGATTCAGGAGGCAAAGGGAGGCACATCCCTGCGAGTTTGAGGACAGCCTGGTCTACAGTGAGTCCCAGGACAGCCAAGGCTACACAGAGAGACACTGTCATAAACAAAACAAATAAATTATATATATTTGTTTCTATCATAAATATGTATTTGTTTTGTTTGAGACAGGGTCTGCATAGTGGCATTCCTCTTTGCAGACCAGGCTGGCCTTGAACTCACAAACCTGCCTCTCAAGTACTGAAATTAACGGTGTGCACCACCACCGCTGGCACAATACTTTAATTTTTGTAGTTTTGCATGTGTTTGTGCCCCACATGCACGAGCAAGGCACTACATGCACCCACCAGGAGTTCTCAGTGGTCAGAAATCGGGAACTAGCGTCGTGGGTTCTGTGACCCAGCTCTTCCCGCCAGCTTAGAAGGGGCAGTGACAGAACAGGCTGTCAAAAAGGCAAGGAGTTAATGTCTGGAAGGAACTGCCAAGTCCTTCCTTTGTATCCTGAGCATATCTGAAGCAGGGCTGTCTGGGTCACCACCAACACTGCCCTTTCCTTCTCTCTCCCGCAATGGCCGTTCGCTTTTGTAGTTCTAAGGGTGAGTTCAGGGGCACATACTAAGGGACTGCTGTTCCACTGAGCTGTATCTATGGGAGAGATATGGGAGAGAGATGCTGAGAACCGGGACACCTGGAGGGACAGGCCTCCAGCCCACTCCCTGGTAGCCGTTGTTAAGCCTAACCTGCTCATGACAACATAGTGCCCACATGTAGAACTGTCTGGTGATCACTTGACACAGGAAGCCAGGGAGTCACACACACTTCCCTATGGGGCATCAGCCACTGCGGTGTCCCCACCACACGACAAGCTGCTCCCAAGACCCTTCAGCAGAGCAGTCCTCGGATGGGCGAATCAGTGGGAAGGCAGATGTGAACAGTCTCACATCCGAGCAGCCTCCTCTCCTAGCCTCTTAAGTCTCGGGCACTAGGATCCAAAATGTCTTTACCGTTTGATGATGGCCTTGGCATGTCACTCCTGGTCCTGGTCCCCCATGTCCCCTGCTGTAAGTGAGAAGAATAACCAGACACCCTTCAGGATTAATTTCAACCATTACGACGGCTGCAGAAGCCTTGGAATGTAGGCTCCAGCCTACCTCTGTTCCTAGTGGCCCTACCTGAGCCCCACCCACTCTGGCCCTTGCCTGGCCCTGCGTCAGCATGTCCACAGGACTTATCCACACCTCTCGTTCACTGGCCTGTGACTACAGAGCAGCCTTCTAAGCCCAGCTGCACATTCCTCCTCCACTTTGCAGTTGTCCAGAGTCAGAGCCGCTGCCACATCATGTGTGCCCTGGGCTTCCTGCTCCGCTTCCTCGTCATACAACTGGTTGCACAGGTGGATTCCAAGGGTGAGCACCAAGCCTCTGCCTGCGTGATCTTAGAGCTACCCGACACCATCCGTTCAAGGTTGGGGGGGGGGGGACAATGGACAGATGCACGGCCAAGGGAGCAGCCTCCCTGGCTAACGTGGCTTCATTCTGGGACTGAGGCCAGGATGGAACTTTGAAGGGCTACATAGTGGTGGTCAGCTGTCCCTGCCTCCTGCCTGCAGGTACCTGGTGCTACGACTCTCAAGACCCAAAGTGTGGTGAGGACAGCTTTAACAGGCTTTGTGGGTCTGTGTGGTCTCTGTCAGCTCCTGTGCTCCAAAGGCCTGGGCAGCAGGCATGCTGTGGTCACGCGTCCACTCTAATCCACAGTGAGGGTCTGGGGGCCTATGGGTATGGCTAGCCCAAGTGTGTGTCTGGGTGGTCCCCAGCATGAGTATGCAGCCATGTCCCAGATCCTTCTGCACTGTCTAAGGGTCAGTATGCCTGCAGAGTTGGTAGCTAAGTCAGGTGGGTGGAGGGCAGGTGGGTGGGCACGTGGGATCCACCCTCTTCCGTGTACTCTCAGACTGCCTCCTCACCCCCTGCTGCAGACTTCAGTCCCTGTTTCCTCAGGCCCTGCCCACTGGAAGGAGCTAGCACCTGCCTGTGGGGGCCCAGCTCAGTCCCCTATCAACATTGACCTCCGATTGGTCCAGCGGGACTACACTCTTGAGCCCTTCATCTTTCAAGGCTATGATTCCGCACCTCTAGACCCTTGGATCCTGGAGAATGATGGCTATACAGGTCAGCATCATAGGGTCAAGACTGCTGTACAGAGGCAGGACTCCACACAGCACAAAGGAACCTCACCCGTACACGGGGATGATGACACAGAAACCGAGACACCAACTTCTCTAAGGAGCTCGCTGTCCCACCTCTACCCCCTACAATTGTGAACAAAGCCGAGGAGGCTCTACGCACACTGTGGGGAGGTGGCAGGCTCGCTATAAATGAAACTAGCCAGGGGCCCCTGAGGACAGTCGCTTCATGCGTGCAAGTCAAGATGCTGGGCAGTCAAGGTTCTCCTAACCGCCAGGGCCGGTTTGCTTCCCATCACGGGGGCGTCTGCTGGGGAGGGATGCTCACACGCTCTTCCACCTTCAGTGCGACTGCGAGTCAATTCCTGTCAGCAGAACTGCCCAGCGATCCGAGGGGCTGGGCTGCCGTCATCAGAGTACCGGCTCCTGCAGCTGCATTTCCACTGGGGCAGCCCGGGGAGCACAGGCTCAGAGCACAGCCTGGACGGAAAGCATGCCTCTATGGAGGTGGGTTCAGGGCGGACCAGAAGGAGGACGGGCACAGGGAGCAGCACGCAGCCGGACAGCACCTGTGCTCTGTATTCTCTAGATGCACCTGGTGCACCTGAACACCAAGTACCAGAGCCTGGGGGATGCTCGGATCCAGCCGGATGGGCTTGCTGTCCTGGCCGTGCTGCTGCTGGTGAGGAAGGGGCGGCGCGACTCCACGCATGCTTCCAGGAGGACCTGGGAGCTTTAGGCTTAGGCTTAGGGAATTTGCAAGACCCCAAGGAGGTGAGGCCAAACGATGATGTGTCGGTGGCCCTTCTGGGAGGTGATCTTCCTCACTCCAGCCCCAGGTCTCCCAGACCCTCCAACTGGGCTCTTCCACTGGTGTCCCAACTATTCCTGTTTCACCTTTGGACACACACACACAGAATCTCAAAGCCTCTCTCTCTGGAACTCCCCCCTAGGAGGAGGACAGGGACAATACCAATTTCTCTGCCATTGTGTCTGGCTTGAAAAATTTATCTTCACCTGGTAAGGAGCTGGGGGGTCCCATCTGGGCTGGTGGTTATGTGGGTGAGGAGCAAGAGCTGGAGAGACGAGTTCCAGCTTCTCTTCCACCATCCAGGGACCTCTGTGAATCTGACGTCCACCTTCCCGCTGGCTTCTCTGCTGCCAAGCGCTTTGGGGCTCTTGCGCTACTACCGATACTCCGGGTCTCTGACCACGCCGGGCTGTGAGCCAGCGGTCCTCTGGACTGTCTTTGAAAACACCATCCCTATTGGACGTGCGCAGGTGGGCGCCACTGCCCCTCCCTATGCCCAGGCTCCTTCCCACAGCCTCCTGCCACCCCTGCCTTCTCTGACTGCCCCGTCGCATCTTGACCCATCTTTGCCCACTCAGGTAGCCCAGTTCCAGACCATGCCCCAGGCCGGGCCGCCAGGTTTGCACCCCAGACCTCTCATGGATAATTTCCGCCCCCAGCAGCCTCTCGGAGGACGCAGGGTATCAGCTTCTCCTGGAGCATCCATCCGGTCATCTGGAGCTCAGGAGCCCAGTCATCCTACCCATCCCTGTTTGCACCTGGCATTTCTGGGCTTGGGGGTTGGTCTGAGGCTCTGGTAGGACCCCTAGAATCCAGCAGCGACTCCTGTTTCCACAATAAATCCTGCACAGTCATCTTGGCCTAATATGGCTGGGAAGGGTTATGTGCCTAGCGGTCAAGGAGATGATGGAGAGCCCTCCCTAACCTTACTGCAGCCTCAATGTCTGTCCACACAACCCAGAGGCTCCTGGGTGACTCTTGCCCACCCCTGCCGTAGAAACCTCTTCCAAAAACCGAGACCCGCTCAGATACCCACCAGCAACAACACCTTTTAAAGGGAAGGGGGAAAGTCGGTATATCTTAGAATTGCCGCCTATACTAGAAATTACATTTTATTTTACAAACAACCTGGGTGACCAACAAAGGGGGTTACTGTGCCCAATTGAAATGACCCTGGTTGAGATTCCGAGGTCGGTCCTTACGGCGAAGCAGGCTCAGCAGGAGGCGCTGAGTTGGCTGGTTTTGGTGAGAGACAGCAGGTGCAATGAAGCCAGGCCTGTTGACAATGGAGACTTATTACCCGGTGGAATAGTTTCTAAAGAGAAGCTGGTGTTGGGCGACTGAGGGAAATGTCCTTCTTGCTACTGTCCGAGTCTCAGTCCAAGGGATACTTGACAGCATGACGCCACAGTGGGAGGGTAGAGTGACTAGATGGTGACCAGCAAAATGATGCCCAGTTCACGCCACGTAGAGGTGTATATTGAAGTGACACTGTCTCAGCTGCCTACGTGCCTAATGTCTTACCCAGTGCATTACCCAGTTATTCTAGCGCGCGGGGATCCTGACTGCTCCCTAGGCCTTTGAAGAAAAAGGCAACCATTTGCCTCCAGGCTGCAGATCCCTAGCTTCAGACAGCTGCACCTCTTAGGCAGTCGTACTCCAGTCGCAGACTCGTCCCCAGCCCCAAGGCCAAAAGCGGCTCTACATCCCAGACCATCACCCATAAAGCGAAGCCGCTCACCCTCAAACTAAGGCAGAGTCAGCTGGCGGCATCTGAGGAGGACTGCCCATCAGCCAGGGTCGCCGGAGCCCCTCAATCTCCGCTGCCTTGCGCAGCCGCTGGAGGCGCTGGAGTCTTCTTGTGGTTCTTGCGGGCTGGGGCTCGGTTCGCCAGGCCGTCTGCGGGGGCGTCTGAGCCGTTCTCCACGGCCCTCGAGGACGAAACCAAGGCGTTCACCGTGCCGAGCGCCCGCAGCAGGGCGGGCCCGCGGGGCTCGCGGCGGACGGGCGGCGGCGGCGGCGGTGGCGGCGGCGGCAGCAGGGCGCGCAGGGCGTCCAGCTCGGCCCGCAGCTCCGCGCGCAGCGCCTCGAGCCCCGCGCTCAGCTCGGCGCGCACGGCCGCCAGCCCCTCCTCCAGCCGCCGCTCGCTCACCTCCAGGACGCCGGCGGGGTAGGTGGCGCCGCCGCGCGGCTCCCCGCACACCGAGCACACCGAGCCGCCGCTGCGCGCGTCCCTCCTGTCGCCGGCCCCCGCCGGCCCGGCCTGCGCGCCCGCGCGCTCCACCAGCCGCAGCATTCGCGGCGCCTCGGCTCGCGCCGCCGCCTCGGCCCGCAGCTGGCCACGCAGCCGAGCCAGGCGGCCGGGGGCGCGGACGTCTTCGGGGACCGGCCCGTTGGGCTGCGAGCCCGGGTCAGGCCGGCGGCCCACGCCTCGCCTCAGCGCCTCTCTAGCGCCGTAGGCATTGCGCGCCTGAGTCCACGAGCGCCCGGGCGCTGCCGCCATGCACTGCTACCTGCACCACTCTCTGCCAGTCCGGCCGAGGGGACCAGGGCCCCAGCCTGCAGCCTAGCGACCGCTGGACCCACGGGACCCACGGGACCCACGAGAACGCTCCCCCTGGGAAGACTGCGGGAACGACCAGGCCTGGGGGAACCCCCGGCAGGACCAGTTCCCGAGTGGCTGGGGCTACAGGGAGACGTGGCTTGGGGGAGGGTTGTACCTGCAGGCTGGGTTATTTGAAACTTAGCCCTAGGGACCCTGTTGTTGGCTGGGGACCCCCCATATGGGACTTAGGTTGGCCTCTAGGCAGCAGCAATAGTAATGCTGCTAAAGCTCAGACACCCTAAGGCTGGAATCAAAACCCACCTCACCTCCTCTCCTTGTCCTGGCCACAGCAGGGGAAGCTGGGCCGGACAAGGATCAGCCCCATCCTTCAGCTGTGCATGCGTGCATGTGTGTTTCAAACCGGCCGAGCACTCTACCTGAGCTACACCCCAACCCACACCACTCAGCCGCCCTTGAATCTCCCACAGTCCACCCTTGTCCACAAGACTCCATCCTTGTCCCTGGCATCTTCAACCCAGGCTCCTGTCCTTCTCCCCAGCCTTCCAAGGGGCTTCCTGTCCCTAGCATGGACACGTCTCAGAGGCTGCCAAGCCCCAGCCCGCACATCTCATCCCCTTTAACCTCTTCTAACCAAACCACCGAGTCACCCCCTGGGCCTTTACACACACAGACTCCGTGCCCCTCCCCTCTGTGGACAGTAGCCTCGACGGACTGAGTTCCCGATTCTCCTGCCTCCACCTCGTGAGCGCTAGAATACAGGTGTGTGTCATCAGGCCTAGTTTTTTGTTTTGTTTTGTTTTGTTTTGAAGATTTTATTTTTTTTATTTTACACGCGTGCTCTATCTGCATGTACACCTGCAGGTCAGAAGAGGGCACCAGATCCCAGTATAGATGGTTGGGAGCTACCGTGTGCTTGCTAGGAATCACACTCCGGACCTCTGGGAAGAGCAGACAGTGCTCTTAGCCTCTGAGCGTCTCTCCTGCCCCTCACCATGTCCAGTTTTTGCAGTCAGTGCAAGGGATTAAACCCAGGGACTCCCTGGTGCTGAGGGGCAGTCGGCTAACTCAGTTACATGCCTAGCTAGTTTTGACTTTAGTTTGGGGGTGACTTTTTAAGATTTATTTACTGTTTATTTTTCCTGTTTTATGTGTGTTAGGAGTATTTGGCCTGTGTGTGTGTGTGGCATGCGTGTTTGGTGCCAGAGGAGGTGATGGAGGCTGGAAACTAAACCCAGGTCTTTCTCAACAAGTGCTGTTAGCCACTGAGCCAGTTCTCCAGCATGTTTTGCTCAGTTTTGAGACAAGGCCTTGCTGTGTTGCCTGGGCTAGTCTCGAATTCCTGTGCTCAGATGCTCTCTCCTGCCACAGCCTTACCAGTAATTGGTACTATAGGCACAGGCTGTTGTATCTGGTTTACAGTGATTTGTTGATTTTTGTTTTGTTCTTTGAGATAGGGTTCTCTGTGTAGGCTTGGCTGGCCTGGACTCGCTTGGCCTCAGACTCACTGCCATCTGCCTGCCTCTGCCTCCTGGAGTGCTGGGATTAAAGGTGTGGGCTCCAGGCCCTGATGCTTGCAGTGATTTTAAGTGACCCTCTGCCCTTCACAGCAAGTCTGGAGCCATGGCTGGCTCCTCTAGGTTGATTAGGCCCTCAGTCGTGCTCAATGTGTTGACTGTTCAATGAAGGAATACATACATGGATGGGCAGGCTTGAGCACAGGAGCCTAGCTCACCCCTCCTACACGCCCAGCCGAGTCCCATTAGGGGCCTGTCCTTGCTGGCGTTTCGAGGCTGTGTTTATTACCCTCTCACTTTCTGCGGAGCCTCTTACCGGCCTGATTCATTCCCACCCCTGTACAAGCTGAGCTGTGCTTGCAAGCGATATGTCGGGTTGTGTGTCCCTCTAGAGGGCAGTATCCCACCTGGCATGCTGTGCTCACGGTACCCTTGGGGTGTTGTTAACACTGGGTGCTCAGTGCCCTGGGACCTCTGAAGACAGTCGGAGGGAGGGAGGGCTCTGGTGGGCCCAGCAGTGCCGGGCCGGGCTACCTGATATGTGTGGAGCTAGCTCTGCCTCTCTGCCTGCCTGCGCCTGCGTGTTTGAGGCAGGGTGTCTACCGTTTGTGGGCTGCCTGGTGAGGGCTACCTGTTCCCCTCCAGAAAGCCCAGAGATGAGAATGTGACACTCAGTATCTTGGACGTCCCCTGTTCTTGCTGACTTATTGTTCCCCTGGGACCTACTGTATTTCCAGATGAACTCTAGAGCTCATTAGCCGTGCTCCGTAGTTAAAATGCTGCTGAGTAAAAAGCCTTGAATTCCTGCCCCAGGCCTGCTCCTGAGGGGTTCTAACTCTCTGACCCCGTCTACACCTAGGAAGCCCAGGAGGCCGGGAAGGTGACGGAGACTCTAGGCTTGCAGACAGGATTAGAGGTCAGAGGAGCCCAAGCAGAGAGGTAAATAATTCAGCAGTTTTATATTTGACTTAAGATTTTTATGAAGCTGGGCGTGGTGGCGTACGCCTTTAATCCCGGCAACAGCAAGGCAGAGGCAGGCAGATCTCTGTGAGTTCGAGGCCAGCCTGATCTACAAAGCGAATCCAGGACAACCAAGGCTACACAGAGAAACCCTTTGTCCCAAAAAACCAAAAAGAAAAGAAATGTTTATGAATATGCTGAGCTACAGACTGAGCCTCCACAGAGCGTCTCAGGTTGTCCCTTGTGAAGACCGCAGACAAGGAGTCATGGGTTGTCTAAGAAGGCTGGGAGAGTCCAGCGGGAAAAAGCCCAGAGGACTCTAGCATGTCCAGAGTAGGGCTGCAGAGCTGAAATGCAAGCCACACACACACACACTCACACACCATCCCCAGCCTCTGAGCTCAAGCAGAGGTCAGGAAGTAGGTGGGCCCCCTGGGGCTGCTGCATCTGTCTCACAAGAACAAGTCCCTGGGATCGTGCCCCAGCACCTCAGGGTGGGGAGGCTGGCCCAGGTCGGATGGGTGTGGAAGGCTGGAGCAGACGCTGAGGTCTGGAGGCAGACACTTCGGGGAAACAGACAACCATCACCCAGATGGTTATTCAGGGAGGACTTGCCATGGGGGGTGGGGTGGGGATGGGGCGAAAAGCAGAGCCTAAGCTGGAGCACAGAACAAAGAGCAGGCTAGCCTCTGCTTCCCCCTGGGGGAGTCCACCAGGGCTGGGCCAGCGCTGCAGAACAGGGAGCCTGGCTGCCATGTTGTTCCTATCTGGCCCCTGCGCCAGCCCCGTGCATCCAGGTGGGACCTCCTGAAAGGGCAGTCAGTGTCCAACTCATGGAGAGTGGGGGTGGAACACGGGGGACCAAGCAGAGCTGGGGGGGGGCAATCTGTACCAGTGACTTAAATGTCATCACTACTGCCACCACTGTATTCTTGCCGTTAAACCCTGGCAGTCACCAAGAGAGGAGTTATTTCCCAGAGCCAGAGGGCACCTGGGAGCCAGGAGCGCGCTCAGCCGTGTTGGAGGGTCTCTGATGGCTTTAGAGGTAAGGGAGCTGTGCAAACAGCTGGGGGATGGAGAGCTGGCCTCACGCCCTTACTGGGCGTACCAGAGCACCCCCAAAAACAGTGACATGGAGCTCCTGCCAAGTTCAAGCTGTGTTAGTTCTCAGTGAAGTGCAGCCAAGCACAGAGCCCTCGATGCCGCCTCTGTGGCAAGAGATGGAAGCCATCTCTGCAGCCCTGGGGCCCTGGTACTGCATCCTGGAGGCGGGGGGGGGGGAGTGGGGGGCGGGGGGGGGCGAGGGGGGGGGAGGGCGGCCGGGGGGGGGGGGGGGGGGGGAGGATACCGGAGGGAGTGAAGAGAGCTGGAGGGAGCAGGAGCAGGGCGGAGCTGCTGTGTGTATGGCCTGCTGTGAGCCCCAGCTCTTCCTGGGTCTCCGGTAGCCCTGCCACAGTCTCGGGTACAAGCTGGAGTCAGGTGGTCAGTGTGGTCCTGCCCGTTGCTGACCGGTGGCTGGTTTTGCTTTAGTCTGTCTCACAAAGCCATCTAACGAGTCCTCGGCCCTTTGCAATATCTCTCTCTGGGACACAAATTCCCCTCTGGCTGGTGCCAGGCTTTCCCTTCCTCCAGCATAAAATTTCTGGGAAAAGTCTAAATTCCTTGTTTAATTGTTTAAACAGTCTGTACAAACACCTCTCTTTCGAATGTCTCAGCTCCTGCAAGAGCTGTTACACTTCTGTTGCCTTAATTTCCCCAACTGTCAGAGCTCTGGGAGATCCTAAGCTGCCAGACAGTGATGAGAGGGAAAAAAAAATGTGTCTGTGCTCACGGAGAAGCACAAACATCCGGATTTTGAACTTGAGGAATCTGTTTCCAAACTGAGTGGAAGAGAACTGGGGCCTGAGTGTCCCTGCATGGTCCAGGGCTTCCTTCTGTAGGGGTGAACTTGCCCTGAACACCCCTGGGCACTGGCCATACAGAGAGTTTTTTTGGGTACTGTGCTGAGGTAGGTGGCTCTGCAGGGGGCAATTTTATCACTCAGTAATGACCTTGTCCTAATGAGCTCATTACCTGGTAATGATTTTGTTTTCAAGGCTTTGGCGTCAGCAGCTTCCCAGACTCTGGGAAGTCTGGCCCGAAGTGGCTCTGACTAGTCTAGGCCTTGGGCCTTAACCCCTGTGACCTGTCTGGGACAAAGATGGAAATGGACCTGGCAGCATGTGTGCCTCAGCTCCCCTCCCTTGTGGAAAAGGCCTATACCCCAATCTGCTTCATTCTTACCACAGTAAAAGTCCTCTGCCCAGCCACACTTTCCTCAGGCTCCTGAAGCTCCCTGGGTTCCTGTGTGAGCTTCCATCTGGGTTCCTGCTTTAGCACGAACTCTCCTCAGCCTAGTACTACCTTACAGGCTCATGTCTGCAATCCCAGCATTTAGGAAGCAGAAACTGCAGGGTTGCTGTGGGTTCAAAACCAGTCTATGCTGCGTAGTTCCAGGGACAGCCTGGACTGAAGAGTGAGAGCCTGTCTCTAAAAACACAAACCAAAAAGGAATTCTGCTAA